CACCGTGGATGAAAGTACTGTTGCCGCCAATCCACTCGAGTGCCGGCCCTCGCATCAGTGTCGCCGCGAGTCGTACACGTTGACCGTCCCAGACTGGCGAGCTCCATCCGACGGCTGCGAAGTAGATCTCCATCCCGGCGATCCATCTGCGGGCGTCGGAGTTTCGATCGCTCGGATCGAACGGCTCAGGTGGGCGCGGTTTCGGAGCCTCGAGAAACTGCTGCGACTGCTGCGTCGTCGCCGTTGTCGTCTCGTGCTGCGCTCCGGCGAGTCGAGTTACTCGCTCGAACTGGTTTCGCCACGCTTCGCGATCTGCTCGCATTTCCTCCTGAAGGGCTGCGATGCGCGCGAAGAGCTGCTGGGTAACCTCGGCGTTGTCGAAGGTTGCCATCCTGTTCAAAACACGCACGGAGGGGGTAATTCGAAAATCGCGGAGCTGGTGCTTACCAGAATCGGCGTCGAATTGGTCGCCCCCGGCGGTTTTTCGAGGCAGGATCCCCGCTGCTGCTGCTTAGCTGAGCGCGGCCGAGTGAGAAAAGCTCTGATTACCAAGTGTTACAGGATCGAATGTGTCGAGGAAAGGTTGCACTATCGATCAGTACAAGGCGCTTTTATACTTCCAGAGTACATCAGGTAACCAGGTTTATCTTATCCTAAGGGAATAGACCCTTCTAGAAGATAGAATCACCCTGCGTATAGCCACGTGAGGCTATTGGCTTTAAGGGATTACGGCAGGATTACGCTGGATAGCGTCTCTAGTACATTCCATGCCTGGTCGGTGATATAATTATAATAAAGGAAGAGACCAAAGGATAATGGAAAAGGAAGAATAGGAAACCAAATGAGATGCGGTAAAACGAGAAATGAAAAGGGAAAGAAATAAGAAAAGGCCAAGTGGTGTAACGGGGTCGTACTCTCACAAGATCGAATGGCTCGAGGAAATATTGCACTATCGATTAGTACAAGGCGCTTTTATACTTCCATAGTACATCAGGTAACCAGGTTTATCCTATCCAAAGGGAATAGACCCTTCTAGAATATAGAATCACCCTGCGTATAGCCACGCGAGGCTATTGGCTTTGAAAGATTACGGAGGGATTACGCTAGATAGAGCGCGCCAGTACATCCCAAGCCTGGTCGGTGATAAAATTATAATAGCAGAATAAACCCAAGAATAATTGAAAATGGAGAATAGGAAACCAATTAAAATGAGATTAGAAGAGAAATAAAATAGAAAGGAAGTAGGGAAAGGAACAAGTGGTGTAACGGGGTCGTACTCTTACAGCAACCCCAGACGTGGAACGCAGACGCGTCACCTGGAGACCCGGTCCAGAGAAGGGCCTGCGAAACCTGCGTCCGCTGAGGGTGCGGCCTCAGGTTAAGCTGGTGAGCGGCGTACCAGACAGCGAACGGCCATAGAAAATGGGGTGCACCAGCGTGGATCATGGAGGCACGAGCCACCTCTATGACCAAACCGATGCGTCGCATAGCGACCCCATTCTGCTGCGGATAGTCCGGCAAGGTGAACGTCTGGGTGATGCCCTCCGCACGACAGATACGCCCAAGGCAACCAAAGGCGAAATCGCCACCGCGGTCAGAGTGAAGATGCAACACAGGGAGGCCGCGGTGCACACGCACAGAGACGAGCCACGGGATAAGAACGCCAGGCACGTCGGCCTTCCGCTCCAAGGGAAACACGGTGGTGTAACGAGTGTAGCCGTCAACAAGGACGAGGATGTAACGCTCACGACGCGGCCCATGGACAGGGGCATGGCCCCAAACGTCCATGTGCAAGGTCTGCAAGGGTGCGGTGGTGGGGGGGAACGAGGAGGAGTGAGGGGCACGAAGGAGCCGGCCCTCGACGCAAGGGGTGCACGGCGGCGCAGATGAGGAGGGGAGTGCGGGGAACGACCAAGGGAGACCTAAAACAAGACCGTGCTGGACATATGACAAAGACAGGGGAGGGCAGGGTGAACTGGACGGTGGTGCCACAGGAGTGTTGGGTGAGTAAGCGACCGACACGAGCAAGCCGCAGCTACCTGAGGAGACACAGTCACCTGGGGAGACGTCCCGACGGGGGGGGGGGGGGGGCAGTGTCCAACGTGAACAGGCCAGACACCGGGTCCCGGGGGAACGTGGTGAGGGGAGCACCAGTGGCGGCCTCGGTACAGACCGCGTACTGCTCGTAACCGGGGAACGTAGTGGTGACGCCAAGGTCCTGAAGGCAGCCGACACGAACTAGGTTCCTAGAGAACAAGGGGATGTGCAGGTCGGTAAGGGAGCCCGAAGGAACCGCCGGACAGGGAAGGGTAGTGGAGCTACGAGTTTCGACAGGACCGGAAGAAGGGTCTGCCACGGATACTGCGGCGGGAGCGAGAAGTGGCGTGAGAGTAGTGGAGTTCCGGAAGAAGCACCGGGAAGTGCCGGAGTCAAGGGTGAACGAGAGCGCTGCAGTGGCGGCAGCAGTCGAAGAAGCAAGAGAGGAGCCTAGACTAAACAAACAGTGGATCCTACGCCTGACGCAGCAGGCGGGGCTGAGCTAGGCACACCGATGCTAGGCAACATGGGGTAAGCGGAACCAATCACACTAGAGTCATCAACATACAGCACATACAATACAGAACGAATCTCTTCCATGTCCATATCAAATATCTGAACACCCCGACGAAGCAAACTGAGCCAGTCGGGGAGGTCGGGGGACGGGCCGAAGCGCAGACGAAACAGGTCGTCCAGGCGACCGAAACAGCGGGGGGGGGTGTGACCGAGCTTACCGCACACGAGGCCACGGCGAGGCCCGGTCTGGAGCTGGTACTGGCAGCGAGCGTCGCCTGACCTACCACCCACCGTCACGCCGCGCGCACGACCACTGCGACCGCCACCACCACCAGCACCCGGCCACCCGGGCGGGAGACGACCAACCCGCCGCTGCTGCTGCTGCGACGGCTGCTGCTGCTGCTCCTACAGTGGCTGCTGCTGCGGCTGCTACAGTGGCTGCTGCGACGGCTGCTGGTCGAGTGGTGGAACCTGCTGCTGTGACAGAGACTGCTGCTCGGTTGTGCTAGGCCCAGCACCCTCGTCAGCACCCCCAGCGGACGACCCGGCTCCACCATCTCCTCCACCCCCACCTCCTCCGCCCCCACCACCGCCGCGCCCAGCTTTTGTGCGGCGGCCCTTTCCCGGACAAACCTGTACTGCCGCGGCTGTCTCAGCCACGGCAGCAGAGCCGTCAGAGAAGGTGCACTGAGCGGGCGCACAGCCCTTGAAGATAGACACTGGCACAGTACCGCTGGACTGGGCGATAGAGCGCTGGCGGGTCTCTATGGCAGACAGGGTGTCGACAAAGTCAGTGAGGGTGAGTTCGGCGGGGTGAGTGCTGAGGAAGTGATCGCGTGCAGTAGCAAGGCGGTCAGGGAGGCGAGTGGCAAGCAGGTAGAGGGTAGCACAGAATGGGGGCTGGAACACGCGAAGCTGAGCCTTAGTGCAGGCAGAGCACCAGGTCGAGTCTAGCGAGCGCAAGTGGGCGGCTAGGTCAGCGATAGTGGGGAAGGACGCGAGATCAGTAAACAGCAGGGGCAGGGATCAAGCGACCGACGGAGGCAGAAGAAGGGGTGAAATAGCGCTCAATAACAGCATCTAGACTCCTGGGCGGTCCAGACCGACCTAAAGCGGGGACGCTCAAACAGGGGAAGGGCATGACTTATGGATAGTTGTGCAACAGCGTCACGCAACAACCAGACCGAGCGGGCAAGGGCTGCAGCGGCAGCGGACTCACGCTCAGCAGACGTGGGGTCAGCGGGCAGCGCAGCAGGGGGGTCAGGACAGGGGAGCGTACCTTCAAGGTGGACAGCCAAGGAGTGGCCGTCCTGCCGCTGCCCAGTGAGGTGACGGCGGAGGTCGACGAGCCACATGTCAAACTCGATCGGCTGACCCTCCGCGTCGAACCGCAGTACAGAGTCTGCCATCAGAGGCAATGCAGCTGCGGTTTAGGGTGGTGCGGTGCGGTGTAGAGCGGTGCAGGGCGGTGCAGTGCGGTGCAGGGCGGTGCAGTGCAGTGCAGGGGCCGGCTGCACGTGACGTGCAGCTGGGCGTCAGGGCCGGGCGCATGAGCGGGCCAGTGCGGGCCAAGGGCGGGGCGGGGACGGGCCGGCGACGAGTCGGGCGCAGGCCGGGGACGGGGCGAGCGCAGGGGCCGGCTACGGACGGGCGCGGGAGCCGGCGCCGGTCAGGCGCGGGAGGGCCGCTACGGAACAGGCGCGGGGGCCTCTACGGGCAGGGCGCGGGAGGGCCGCTATGGAACGGGCGCGGGGGCCGCTACGGACGGGCGCGGGGGCCGCGACGGACGGGCGCTGGGGCCGCTACGGGCGGGTCGGGGGCCTCTACGGGCGGGCGCAGGGGCCGCTACGGACGGGCGCGGGGGCCGGCTACGGACGGGCGCAGGGGGGGGGGGCGGCTACGGACGGGCACGGGGGCCAGTTACGGACGGGCGCGGGGGCCGGCTACGGACGGGCACGGGGGCCGGCTACGGACGGGCGCAGGGGCCGGCTTGACGGGCGCAGGGGCCGGCTACGGACGGGCGCCAGGCCCGGCTAGGGGGTGTGCACGGGACCGGCTAGGGGACGGGCCGCTAGGACCTAGGGCGGAAGCGCTGGTGGGCGAGGTGGACCTAACCTAGTCATGATACCATGTTAGAATGCAAGAATGACTAGAATGTGAGGATACAAGGCAATATAGGCTAGAGTGTTGTATCCTCTAAGGCACAAACCTGTGTAGTCTACAATAACATACGAAGTTATATTCGACACTGGAGCCGTGGCGATTGTTTGGTTCTGTCCACGTCATACGCCTTGTAGCAAGCCTCCGTAAGGAATTCTACTTCCTTACATTGTGAAGTATTCCGTGACAGGTATTCTTCCTTCGCTACCCTTCTCCTCATGGCTGGTCTTGGCTGGGCACAACAATGGCCTCAAGGTTTTGGCGTAGTGGTTTGCTGACAGCCAAGGCACAGTTGCTGAGCCTTCGGAACCTAGCATTCTCAACGGTGAGCTGCTCATTTGCCATACCTCTCGCACGACCACCCGGCGGAAGCGAGACCCTTCACATAATTTTTTTGCGTGTGCCGGCGAATCCTCGTGTCCCTTGGGGCCTCCGCAGCTCCTTTGCGTCTTCTTCCGGCCATGGTATCCTAGACGCTACACCTAACCTGACATGGTCTTCGTCCCTATCACTCGCGCGCATCCCTCTAGCTCCCCACCGTATATTATTTCCTTGATTCGTCGCAGCGAGAAGACACCTGGCCAATTATTTTCGTGAATCTCCGTCGTATTAAGGAGCGTGATCTGGGCCGTCGGATCAGCAGCGGTGGGAAGCTTATCCACCAATCACGAGCCCTCTTAATCTCAAAACACGTGTATCAGCACCAGCCACCGACACTCGTTCTGGTGCCACCAGCCGGCGACCAACCTCCTGGGTTATCTGGGCCGTCCGATCACCCTTCTCAGTACGCGGACTGCATCCGTCCCTCCCTCTTATCCCACTAATCTCCTGTCGCGATAATCTGGACCGTCCAATCACCCGTCTCAGCACCAGCACTATCCTCCCGTCGCGATGTCGTTCAGCAACGTCATCGGCGGGAAACTGAAGCTAAAAGGCGGCGACCGCGCGCTGCCGTCCATCGGCGGCATAAAGAAGAAGAAGAAAAAGGCCGGCAAGCCCGTGAACCTCGACTCGCTGCAGCTGCAGGCGCTTCGAGACGCCGAAGCGGCTCTTAAGGAGGAGGAGGCGCGCGGCGGCGCCGCTGGATTGCACGAATCCGGCGCAGCAGGAGCAGCGGGTGGGGTTGCGGGGGAAGCGGGGGGAGAGGACGACGCGGAGCAGCAGGCGCAGGAGGAGGCGGGGGAGGATCACCGCACGCCCGCGGAGCGGCGGTACCACGAGCAGCTGGAGAAGCTCGAGGCGGAGCGGGCCGCGAGGGGCGCGAGCAAGTCGCACAGGCAGCGCGTGGAAGACTTTAACAAATACCTGGCGAACCTTAGTGAGCACCACGACATTCCCAAGGTTGGGCCTGGCTAAGGGCCCCTCAGGAGGCTGTGAGGGGCGCGAGCAAGCCGCACAGGCAGCGCATGGAAGTCTTGAACATGTATGATGTATCTGGAGAATCTCAGCGAGCGCCACGGCATTCCCAAGGTCGAGCCGGATTAAGGAGGCTTGGTTGAGGGCGCTGCTTTTGAATCGACTCAAAAGATAGTCGCACTGGCAGTGCCTGGAAGACTTCAACATGCATCTGGAGCATCTCAGCGAGCACTGCGACATTCCCAAGGTCGGGCCAGGTTAAGGGGGTTGTATTGAGGGGACTTCCGCCTGGCATTTCAGGACGGGCTGGGACATGCCTTGAGGGGGCGTCCATCCTGGTCTGTTCAGGTGGCAGGTTGAGTGACACTTACTGACATGCTGCTGAGAACCAGCTCTCCTTCCCGCTCTCCCTGCTTTCTACTTCCCCCCTCCCAACCCCTCCTCCACCGCATCCTCCTTCCCCCTCCCCTGTCCTCTGGGCCATCCTCCCCTGCCAGCTATCCTTATCCCTTTCCCCGTTGCTGGCCGATCTGCTGTTTAGGGACAGAACACAATGGTCTTTTCTTCCCTAGGCTTCATCGTCTACGGCATTTCTTCCTCCCTTGAAGTTGCCTTCAGTGTGCTTACTCTTAAAACTGAATGTATTGAGTAGAGAACCTGGGTACAAGGAAATATATCTTGTACCCTCTAAAAGGTCACCCTATACAGTCTATACAAACATTACAGATTACACATGTTTGACACACCCCCTAGGCTGATTAGGGGCATTTCCTGAACATGCAGCTCAGGGCGGCACTACTAGTCCAGCCACTGAGACAAGGGTCTAAAGACGAGTCAAAACGAGTGCACGCAAGACAAGAACACGACCAGGGCGGCACTACTAGTCCAGCCACTGGGAGAGGACACAAGTCCAGTCTGAGTAACAATAAGTACAAAGTCCAGGCCCCCTCCCAAGTGAGAGGCTACGGGAACTAGTCCGAGCTGTAAACAGTGCCGCTGATGATCTTTAGGCGCAAGCGCCTTCGTAAAGATATCAGCTGTGTTGGCACCTGAGGCCAAGTGTACTACGCGAGCCTGGCGGCGCTGCTGTAGCTCGCGCAAGAGGAAGTACCGCAGCTGGATATGCTTCGCTCTGCCCTCGAGTCGAGGCTCCTGACACAGGAGGATCATGGCCCTGTTGTCAGCGAACAGGATAGGGGCAGAGCTAGGCTGCTCACCTAGGTCAGTGAGCAAGAAGGTCAACCAGCGGAGCTCCTGTGCCGCCATGGCACCGGCGTAGATCTCGGCCTCACAGCTGGACTGGGCAACAGACGAGGAGCGGGTAGCTCTCCACGAGACGGCACCTAAACCAAGGCTAAAGCAGTAGCCCTGGGAAGACCTGAGAGTTTCGGCGTCGTCTGCCCAAGAAGCGTCTGTGTGTCCAGTAAGGACCACTGGCATGCGTCCTCCTAGCACTAACCCCAAGCCCGATGTAGTTGCAAGATAACGCAAAACCCTCTTAGCGGCAGACCAGTGCTGCGGTCGGTGTCTTCCTGTGGCCATAAAGCGAGCTAGGATGCTGAGAGGGTATGCGATAATTTGGGCGAGTGCAAGTCATCAGGTACATGAGGCAACCCACCAGCTCAGCGTAAGGACCACTGGGCTCTACTGGCTCCTTAGGAACTGGAGTGGAGAGTCTGTGGTCTAGCGCGAGAGGAGTGGGCTGTGAAGAGGAGAACTGAAGGCCAAACCTCTGAAGGACCTGGCGCACCAAGTGTGACTGAGTCAAGGTAATGGTACGCGCTGCTCTGTCCTTGGAGATATGCAACCCAAGGTAACGGCGCAGTTCTCCAAGGTCAGTGCAAGTGTGTCTCCTCAGCAGCTCTGCCTTCACGGAGGCCAGTGCGTCCCTATCTGCTGTGGCAAAGATCAGGTCGTCTACGCACACAAGGATGTAGAACGGAGTCTGGCCAGCACGAACGAAGAGTGAGGGGTCTGCAGAGGACGGAAAGAACTGCAGGTCAGCAAGGGTAGCACGCAGCGTGTCGTGCCACTCACGGGGATCCTGCCCCAGGCCGTAGACGGGACGCCGCAGGAGCCACTGGGTCCTAGGAGGGAAGGTGCGTGTAAAACCCTGAGGGCGACGAAGGTAGACCTGCTCGTGTAGGCTGCCCTGCAGGAAGGCAGTGGAGAAGTCGAGGGAGTGAAGCCGTAGTCACGCTGAGCTGCTAAGTGTAACAGAACCCGAAGAGAAGTCATCTTCGGGGTCAGAGCGAAGGTCTTGAAGAAGCCCACCCCCTCACGCTGAATGAAACCTTTTGCCACGTAGCGCGCCTTGAACACAGGCGGCTCTCCAGGAGGGCGCTTCACCTTGAAGAGCCAGCGGCCATCGACTACGTTCACCCCAGGTGGGGGAACTGTGTCGACGAAGGTGCCGGTGGATCTCCAAGATGCCATCTCCTGCTCCATGGCAGCTATCCACTAGGAGTCCTAGGGTCCCGAAACAGCCTCAGCGTAAGTGCGAGGGGTCGGGATGTCGAAAGCGTCTGGGTCACCCTCAGGAACGAGCAGCATGGAACAGAGATGGGGAGCAGCCTCGGACAGGAAAGCAAGCTCGAACTGGCGGTCCTCCAGGACGTCACTGCCGAGGGCAGAAGCACCCCCGACAGACGGAGGACAGGCAGGGTCAGCGACCAAAGCAGTGGCGTAGTCAAGGCGGCGGGTAGAGGCGAAGTCAGCGACCGCAGCGACACGGACGTCAAGACTCGAAACCGGAACGGACGGGTTAGTAACAAGAGAGGCAAGGACCCGAGGAACAAGAGGACAAGCGGCACGAAGGTAGTTAGACAGAGGGGGGGGTGCAACGACAAGGGAGGACGGAGGAGGCGAGGGGAGAAGGGGAGGACGAGACGCGTGGGAACGAAGCAACATAGGGTGAGAGCGCAAGACAGGGGAGACAGGACGAGCACGGGAGGGACGGCGAGACCAGACGTGAGACGGAGGAGTCGGGTCAGGAGATAGAGGAGGGGACACAGGGGGAGAACGAGGGGGAAGACGAGCCGGGGACGAGTCCGACGGAGGGAACACCGGGCCGTAGACGGGAAGAGGAGGAGACGGCAGGAGAGGGACAGACGCAGGGTCAGGGGACGGAAGGCCGAGCAGGCGAAGGGCTGACACCGGCGGGGACTGCTGTTGCGGCGGCACAGTGCCGACACCGGGACTGCAAGCTGCTCCTCGGCTACCACCGGCACACCCCACGCCAGCACCCCCAGAGGGAACACCCCCAGGGCCCAAAACCCCTCGAGCACCGGTACCACCCCCAGGGCCACCGGGACTAGCACCCACTCCAACGCCAGCACCCCCAGGGTCAATGAACTACTGCTGCGACGGCGGCAGCGACAACGACAGGTGCGGCGACGTCGGCGGAGGTGACGACGGCTGTAGAGGCAGTGGAGGAGGGGACGCGTGGGGAGGGGCAGACGGCAAGGACTGCGCCGCAGGACCACCAGAGTCAAAAGACTCCTCAATCGGGACCACCGACGGTAGAGGGGTGACGTGGGACACACCAGAGGGGGCAGGACAGGGAGGGGGAGGGGGGGGGGCAGGGACCACGGGGGAAGGAGTGACCATGAACAGGGGGGGGGTAACCGGGGGACCGCGGTGGGGGAAGCGACGGTAGAACGAGACGGACTCGTCAAAGGTGACGTCGCGAGAGTGAAAGAAGCGGTGAGACGGCGGGTGGTAGAAGTGCCAGTCGGACGCGTCAAGGGGAAAACCGAGGAAGACGCAGGGACGGGTGCGGGCAGTGAGCTTGTCCGTGCCGGAGGCACGAACGTTAGCAAGGCAGCCCCAGACGTGGAACGCAGTCGCGTCACCAGGTGACCCGGTCCAAAGACGAGTCGGCGAAACCTGCGGCTGCTGGGGGTGCGGCCACAGGTTAAGCTGGTGAGAAGCGTAGTGCACGGCGAACGGCCACAGAAAATGGGGTGCCCCGGCATGGATCATGGAGGTGCGGGCAACCTCCAAGACCAAGCCGATGCATCGCTCAGCGTCCCCATTTTGCTGTGGGGAGTCCGGCAGGGTGAACGTCTGGGTGATGCCCTCCGCACGACAGAAGCGACCAAGGACACCTGAGGCAAACTCGCCACCACAGTCGGAGTGAAGACGCAAGACAGGGAGACCTCGGTGGACACGGGCAGAGACAAGCCAGGGGATGAGAGCGTTAGGCACGTCGGCCTTCCGCTCCAGGGGAAAGACTGTGGTGTAGCGAGTGAAGTCGTCGACAAGCATGAGGAAGTAGCGCTCTCGACGCGGCCCATGGACGGGGGCGGGGCCCCAGACGTCCATGTGCAGGGTCTGCAGCGGCGCGGCAGTAGGGGGAAACGAGGAGGAGTGAGGGGCACGGCGAAGCCGACCCTCGACGCAAGGCATGCAAGGTGGGGTGGGGGAGGAGGGAAAAGCGGGGAGAGAACCAGGGAGACCAAGGACGAGACCGTGCTGGGACATGTGACGCAGACGCGGGAGCGCAGGGTGACCAAGGCGGTGGTGCCAAAGGAGAGTCGGGTGAGTGAGGGACCGACAGGAGCAGGCAGCAGCAAACTGGGTAGACGCAGCCACCTGAAGGGTCGCCCCAGCCGGGGGGGTCACGGTGTCCAGGGTGAACAGGCCGGACACCGGGTCCCAGGGGAACGTGGACAGGGGGGCACAAGTGGCGGCCTCGGTACAGACAGCATACCGCTCGTGACCAGGGAACGTAGTGGTGACGCCAAGGTCCTGGAGGCAGCCGATACCAACTAGGTTCCTGGAGAACGAGGGGATATGCAGACCTGTGAGAGAGCCCGAAGGAACCGCCGGACAGGGAAGGACGGTGGAACTGCGGGCGACTACCGGACCGCCGGAGGGGTCAGCAAGAGAAACGGCAGCAGGAACAGGAAGCGACGTTAGTGTAGTGAAGTCGCGGAAGAAGCACCGGGAAGCGCCAGAGTCCAAGGTGAAGGAAAGCGAAGCAATGGCGTCCGGGGACGGGGCGACGACGGAAGCACCAAGGCTAAACAAAGCAAGGGCTCCTACGCCTGACGCAGCAGGGGACGCTAAGCTAGGCACACCTACACTAGACGACAATGGGTAATAAGCGGGAAGCACACTAGAGTCATCAGCATACATCACATGCAGAGCGGAAACAATGGCATCCATGTCCATGTAAAAAATGTGAATCCTACGACTAAGCAAACTGTGCCAGTCCGGGAGGTCTGGCGACGGGCCGAAGCGCTGACGAAACAGGTCGTCCAGGCGATGAAAGCAGCGAGGAGTGGTATGACCGAGCTTACCGCAAACGAAGCCGCGGCGAGGACCGGTCTGGATCTGGTACTGACAACGCACGCCTCCCGAACCACCACCCGGCACACCACCACGCGCATGACCACCTCCAGCGCCAGGCCACCTGGGCAGGAGGACACTCGCCTGCCTCGTCTGCTGCGACTGTTGCGGCTGCTGCGGCTGCTGCTGCTGTTGCTGCGAGTGCGGAGGCGGCTGCTCAGCTGGACCGGGCAGGGTCCCCTCGTCCGCTCCAGCACCAGACGACCCGACTCCACCACCACCCCCGCCTGCACCCCCTCCTCCTCCGCCGCGCCCAGCCTTGGGGTGGCGGCCCTTCCCCGAACGGAACTGCGCTGCAGCAGCGGTCTCAGCCACAGCGACAGAACCGTCGGAGAAGGTACACTGAGCGGGGGCACAATCCTGAAAGATAGGGACCGGCACAGTACCGCTCGCCTGGGCGATGGAGCGGTGGCGGGTCTCAATAACAGTTAGGGTGTCTACAAAGTCGGTGAGGGTGAGCTCACCGGGGTGAATGCTAAGGAAGCGGTCGCGGGCGGCGGCAAGGCGGTCAGGGAGGCGGGTGGCAAGCAGGTAGAGGGTAGAGGTAATGGGCGGCTGGTGGGATCTAAGCTGTGCGTCAGTGCAGGCAGCGCGCCAGGTCTCATCTATCGTGCGCAGATGGGCAGCGAGGTCAGCGACACTGGGGAAAGACGCAAGGTCAGGAAAGAGCATCGGGAGGATCAGACGACCCACCGAGGCAGTAGGAGGGGTGGAATAGCGCCTGATGACAGCATCTAAGAAAGCCTGGGCGGTAGTGATGGACCTAAAGCGAGGGCGCTAAGACGGGGGAAGGGCATTGCTAATGGCAAGCTGGGCGACAACGTCTCGGGAAAGCCAGACAGTGCGCGCAAGGGCAGCAGCTGTAGTAGACTCGCGCTCAGCGGGCAGCACAGCAGGGGGGTCTGGGCAGGGGAGCGTACCGTCAAGGTGTGCGGAAAGCGGGTGGCCATCCTGCCCCTGGCCAGTGAGGTGGCGGCGGAGGTCGGCGAGCCACGCCTCGAACTCCAGAGGCTGGCCTTCAGCGTCGAAGCGAAGCTCCGCCGCCATCAGGAGCAGTGCAGGACTGTACAGTGCGGTACAGTGTGGTGCAGTGCAGTGCAGTACGGTGCAGGGCGGTGCAGTGCGGTACCGTGCGGTGCAGGGCAGTGATGGTGATGGGGAACCATACCAGGGAGAGTGCAGTGCCGGAGCAGGCACGACGAGCGCGCCGCACACAGCTCGGGGCAGAACGGGCGCGGGGGCCATGAGCAGCGGGCACCCGGCCGGCGGGACGAGCGCAGGGCCGATGGGAAGGGCGCGGGGCCGGCTGGGACGGGCGCAGGGGCCGAGCGGACGGGCGCAGAGGCCGAGCGGGGGGGCGCGGAGGTCGCAAGAGCGGGCGCGGGGCCGGCTGGGACGGGCGCAGGGGCCGCTAGGGCGGGCGCGGGGGCCGCTAGGGCGGGGACGGGGCCGGCTAGGACGGGTGCTAGGGCGGGCACGGGGGCCGCTAGGACGGGCACGGGGTCGGCTAGGACGGGCGCAGGGGGCCGCTAGGGCGGGCACGGAGGCCGCTAGGGCGGGCACGGGGCCGGCTAGGATGGGCTCTAGGGCCGAGGGGAGGGGGCGCGCGGAGCGCGAGGGACGTAAGGAGGGGGCGCGAGGGCCGTGAGGGGGGGTGCGAGGGCCGTGAGGAGGGGCGCGCGGGCGCGGCTAGGACGGGCGCTAGGGCGAGCACGCGCGCGGGGCGCGAGGGCCGTAAGGAGGGGCACGAGGGCCATGAGGAGGGGCGCGAGGGCCGTGAGGAGGGGCGCGCGGGCGCGGCTAGGACGGGCGCGCGGGCGCGGCTAGGGGGGGGCGCGGCTAGGAGAGGCGGGTAGGTCCTAGAGCGGAAGCGTGGGTGGGCGGGGACCTACCTACTGCTGATACCATCTTAAAACTGAATGTAGTGAATAGAGAACCTGGGTACAAGGAAATATATCTAAGAGTTGTACCCTCTAAGAGGTGACCCTATACAAACATTATAGATTACACATGTTTGACACTTACAATATCACTATAGAGATTGGTTTTTGCCCCTACTGAAGGGTGTATTGTTTTTCCTTTCGCGTTGTTCAAAATAAGCATTTAGCCGATGTAGGGTATATAGACATGCTGATTGATTTCTTTATAGATTCAACCGCAATAGGGTAGTATGATTGTGAGGTGCCTACTGATATTCCAAATCAATCGCTCACAATATACACTACAGCCTCGCCATCCAATCACATCAGTGTTGACTCGGTTGGCCCCCTGCACTGGACCATGGCAGGCATTCCCGCCCTTGCCTCCTGCTTGTTGTGCTCGCCCTCCCCGTTTCCGCGCATGCGTTCCCTCTCATTCACCGCGCGCCCACCAACTCGAATTTCCCCCTCACCCCCTCTCCCCCACCCCCGATCACCCAAACCGACCCCGCACAACCACACGCTTTCCCCTCTCCCCTCACAACCACAACCTCACCGCTCTCGCTGCCCTCATTCTCCTCGTTTCTATCACACCCATCCGCTCATCTGCTACTGTACCTCCTAGGCTGGTTTCCCATCTGCTTTATCCTTGCAACCGCGGGAGCTCACCTGCAATTATCCATGGCGGCTCATTCTAGGGTCCTGCGAGCCTGATGCGTAGGTGGTTATATGCACAGCCGAGCAGTTGGATGTCTTTTCCAGTTATGCCAGTAATTTTCTCGAGGTAGGCCGGTTCGGTGTCGGAGCGTCGGCGAGTTTCGCGCGTAGACCTAATTTCGCGATTTGGTTTCGGCCATGACCAGAAAGCCCTCCTTGCCTAGGGTTTGCTGCTTGACTGAAACCAAACGGCGCTAGCGATTTCGTGTCGATAGTAGTTAGCAGCTAGGGTTTCGTGTTTAGAAAGCGGCTTAGCATGCTTCAGTCAGTTAAGAAGACGTTTGCAGGCGGTCGGAAAAAGCAGGGTAAGTCAGACGCAGCGTCGCACGATGCAGGCAATGCAGCAGCGGCGGCAGCAGCGACGGGGGGCATTGCGCGGGCGGGCTCGGGGAAGGCCGCATCCGGGGGAGGAGCAAACGCCGGAAAGGCGGGAGGCCCGCATCCGCCGCCAGGCGTCGCCAATCCAACGGCTCCCGTTCGTCGCGACCCCAACGAAGTGATCGCGCAGGCGAACGCGTCGCCTTTCGCCGAGCCGCTTCCGCTGTTTAGAGACGTGGGTCCGCAGGAGAAGCAGGCTTTATTCATCCGCAAGCTGCATCTCTGCACTTATCTCTTCGACTTCAACGACCCGATGAAGAACGTCAAGGAGAAGGAGATTAAGCGGCAAACGCTGCTCGAGCTCGTCGACTACGTGAATTCCGGAACCGGGAAATTTAACGAGGCGGTCTTCGAAGACATCACGCGTATGCTGGAGATTAATCTCTTCCGGCCGCTACCCCCCTCTGCGCACGAGATGTCCGGGTCCGAGTCGTTCGACCCGGAGGAAGAGGAGCCTACTATGGAAGCCGCTTGGCCGCACCTGCAAATAGTCTACGAGTTCCTGCTTAGGTATGTGGTCTCTAACGAGACCGACGCGAAGGTGGCGAAGCGGTACGTGGACCAGAAGTTCATCTTAAAGCTGCTGAACCTGTTCGACTCGGAGGACCCCCGCGAGCGCGACTATTTGAAGACTATTCTGCATCGCATCTATGGCAAGTTCATGGTGCACCGGCCGTTCATCCGGAAGGCGATTAACAACATCTTCTACCGGTTTATCTACGAGTCGGAGCGGCATAACGGCGTCGCGGAGCTGCTGGAGATCCTGGGGTCCATCATCAACGGGTTCGCGCTGCCGCTTAAGGAGGAGCACAAGCTGTTCCTCGTCCGCGCGCTGATCCCGCTGCACAAGCCCAAGTGCGTGTCGATGTATCACCAGCAGCTCTCCTACTGCATCACGCAGTTCGTCGAAAAGGACCCGAAGCTCGCGGATTTGGTGCTGCGCGGATTGCTTAAGTTCTGGCCCTTAACTAACAGCCAGAAGGAGGTGCTGTTCCTCGGGGAGTTGGAGGAGATCCTGGAGTTGACGCAGGCGCCCGAGTTCCAGATGGTCATGACGCCGCTCTTCCAGCAGGTCGCGCGCTGCCTCAGCTCCTCGCACTTCCAGGTACGGTGTTGTGCGGTGTGATGTGTTCTGGCGGGGTGTGGTTGGGTGTGACGGGGTGTGCTACGGTGATGGGGAATGACGGGGAGTGACTTGGTGTGATGCATCCTCAGTTAGGCGCCCGAGTTCCAGATGGTCATTACACCACTCTTCCAGTAGATCGCGCGCTGCCTCAGCTCCTCGCACTTTCAAGTACGGTGGGACGGGGTACGACGGGGTGTGACGGGGTGCGATTGGTTGTGAAGGAATGTGATTGGTTTTGATGCGGTGATGGCGTGTGAGGGGGTGTGATGCATTGAGGCGCCCGAGTTCCAGATGGTCATGACGCCGCTCTTCCAGCAGATCGCGCGCTGCCTCAGCTCCTCGCACTTCCAGGTACGGTGCGATTGGGTACGATGGGGTGTGATACAGTGTTGTACGCCTTAATGGGTTGTGACGGGGTGTGACGGGGTGTGGCGGGGTGATGGGGTGTGACGGGGTGATGGGGTGTGACGGGGTGTGACGGGGTGATGGGGTGTGATGGGGTGTGACGGGGTGTGACGGGGTGTGACGGGGTGTGACGGGGTGTGACGGGGTGATGGGGTGTGATGGGGTGTGACGGGGTGCGAGAGGGTGTGACGGAGGTGGATGGGGAGTGACGGGATGTGAGGGTGTGCGATACCGATACATGACGCCAGCAGATCGCGCACTGCCTCAGCTCCTCGCACTTGTAGGAATGGCGTTCAAATCGTGATGCTCCTGGTGCGTTTCGCTTGCGCGTACGCCGAATCAGCTTCGAATGCAGTTTCATGTCGGTGCGAGACGTTGTGTATAGCGGAGACGGGCCCTTGTTTCGTTCCCGGGCCCTCGCTTATTGGCATTAGGGTTTGCCCGAGATGGTGCGGTGACCGGTCTGGTCTCTGACATGTCATGGGGTACTGGGAAACTTTTTACTGCCCGTGCTCAATCTGCGGTGTCCCGCTGCGTGAAGCGCTGGATGCATCTGGCCGGGCTGCCATGTTACTGTTGTCCTGCTCACTGTAGCCTCTTGCCCTGTGCTCCCTCCCTTTCGATTCTCGTGTTGCTGTGTCACATACGTGCTCCATACGTGCTCCATAGGGGCGGGGTGCTCTCTCCCATGATCCCATCCGATTCTCGTGTTGCTTTGTCACATGCGTGCTCCATCCGAGTGTCTCGTGTTCCTGTGTGTGCTCCTATACTATGTGTGAACTGTCTACACCTTCTCAACCCATCCCTCCACGTCATCCGTTTTCCGTTGGCTCTTCCCCCGCCATCTTGTCAAGCCCCCCCTGGCCCTGTTGTCTAGCGCACTTCGTTTGGATTGGAGCGCACGCTATTCCCGTGGAACAACCACTGCATTATTAGCGCCCTATTCAGAACGCTTCCTCATCCCCCCTTCGTCACGTCCCATACATCACGTCCCATACATCACGTCCCATACATCACGTCCCATACATCACGTCCCATACATCACGTCCCATACATCACGTCCCATACATCACGTCCCATACATCACGTCCCATACATCACGTCCCATACATCACGTCCCATACATCACGTCCCATACATCACGTCCCATACATCACGTCCCATACATCACGTCCCATACATCACGTCCCATACATCACGTCCCATACATCACGTCCCATACATCACGTCCCATACATCACGTCCCATACATCACGTCCCATACATCACGTCCCATACATCACGTCCCATACATCACGTCCCATACATCACGTCCCATACATCACGTCCCATACATCACGTCCCATACATCACGTCCCATACATCACGTCCCATACATCACGTCCCATACATCACGTCCCATACATCACGTCCCATACATCACGTCCCATACATCACGTCCCATACATCACGTCCCATACATCACGTCCCATACATCACGTCCCATACATCACGTCCCATACATCACGTCCCATACATCACGTCCCATACATCACGTCCCATACATCACGTCCCATACATCACGTCCCATACATCACGTCCCATACATCACGTCCCATACATCACGTCCCATACATCACGTCCCATACATCACGTCCCATACATCACGTCCCATACATCACGTCCCATACATCACGTCCCATACATCACGTCCCATACATCACGTCCCATACATCACGTCCCATACATCACGTCCCATACATCACGTCCCATACATCACGTCCCATACATCACGTCCCATACATCACGTCCCATACATCACGTCCCATACATCACGTCCCATACATCACGTCCCATACATCACGTCCCATACATCACGTCCCATACATCACGTCCCATACATCACGTCCCATACATCACGTCCCATACATCACGTCCCATACATCACGTCCATACATCACGTCCCATACATCACGTCCCATACATCACGTCCCATACATCACGTCCCATACATCACGTCCCATACATCACGTCCCATACATCACGTCCCATACATCACGTCCCATACATCACGTCCCATACATCACGTCCCATACATCACGTCCCATACATCACGTCCCATACATCACGTCCCATACATCACGTCCCATACATCACGTCCCATACATCACGTCCCATACATCACGTCCCATACATCACGTCCCATACATCACGTCCCATACATCACGTCCCATACATCACGTCCCATACATCACGTCCCATACATCACGTCCCATACATCACGTCCCATACATCACGTCCCATACATCACGTCCCATACATCACGTCCCATACATCACGTCCCATACATCACGTCCCATACATCACGTCCCATACATCACGTCCCATACATCACGTCCCATACATCACGTCCCATACATCACGTCCCATACATCACGTCCCATACATCACGTCCCATACATCACGTCCCATACATCACGTCCCCATACATCACGTCCCATACATCACGTCCCATACATCACGTCCCATACATCACGTCCCATACATCACGTCCCATACATCACGTCCCATACATCACGTCCCATACATCACGTCCCATACATCACGTCCCATACATCACGTCCCATACATCACGTCCCATACATCACGTCCCATACATCACGTCCCATACATCACGTCCCATACATCACGTCCCATACATCACGTCCCATACATCACGTCCCATACATCACGTCCCATACATCACGTCCCATACATCACGTCCCATACATCACGTCCCATACATCACGTCCCATACATCACGTCCCATACATCACGTCCCATACATCACGTCCCATACATCACGTCCCATACATCACGTCCCATACATCACGTCCCATACATCACGTTCCATACATCACGTTCCATACATCACGTCCCATACATCACGTTCCATACATCACGTTCCATACATCACGTCCCATACATACATTACGTGTCCCATGCACCTGCACCTAGAAGCGGAGAAAAAACTATTCCTATGGAACAACGACTACATTGTGGCGCCGGTCGCTTAGAACCGATGTGTCTGTGGCTGTACCCCACATAACCCCCCCCCACCCCACCCCACCCCACAACTACCGCCTCCCTCCCCACTTCCCCCCCCCAGGTGGCGGAGCGCACGCTGTTCCTGTGGAACAACGACTACATTGTGACGCTCGTGGCGCAGAACCGCGCCACCATCCTGCCACTCATCTTCGCTGCCCTCGAGCGCAACGCCAGAAGCCACTGGAACCAGGTAGGGTAGGGTGGGGTGGGGTGGGGGCTATAGCACAGGTGTAGCGGTATACCGTCCCCCTATGGCTGGAACCAGGTACACTCACTGGTGGCTCAAAACCGCGCCACCATCCTGCCGCTCATCTTCGCCGCGCTTGGCTGTAGCACATAGTGAAGCCACTGCGACCGGGTACACCGAATACCAACCTGGGAGGGCTCACCAGGCGTACCCACTGGTGGCTCGGTCTCAGAACCGCGCCACCGTGCTGCCGATAATCTTCGCTGCTCTCGAGCGTAACGCCACAAGCCACTGGAACCAGGTAGGGTGGGTTGTGTGGTCTGTAGCACAGCGTTAAGCCACTGGGATCCGGTAGGTTAGGGGGTCCACGGCACAGGTATGAGGATAGATGGACTCGCCTCAGCGCACTATTCGAATCAGGTGTACTGGTAGCTGAGAACCGGCCCCCCATCCTGCCGCTCTTCTTTGCTGCGCTCGAGCGCAACATTAGAAGCCACTGGCGCCAGGAAGGGTAGGGTGGGGGCTATAGCACAGGTATAGCGGTATACCGTCCCCCTCTGGCTGGAACCAGGTACACTCACTGGTGGCTCAAAACCGCGCCACCATCCTGCCGCTCTTCTTTGCTTCTCTCGAGCGCGACGTTAGAAGCCTGTGCAACCGAAAGGGGTGGTGAGCTGCGGGGCTACGGGCCTACGGGGCTGCAGGGCTAGCCTTTAGAAAGAGGTGAGTGGGAGCAGGTATGGGGCAGACGGGAGTGGAGGGCGGGAAGGGGAGGGAGTGCGAGAGCGAGAGAGATAGAGGAGGGAGGGGTGGGGAGGAGACGGGAGGAAGGGAGGGAGGGAAAGGAGGGAGGGAGCTAAGGGCAAGAATGTGCCACGACTTCAAATGGGAGGGACGGGAGGGAAGGGGGACGGAGAGCAGGGACAGGGCAGGGGATGGAAGGGGGTTGGGGGGGGGAGAGGAGAGAAGGGGAGGGGTTGAGAGGGTGGGAGCGGAGGCGGCTGGGGAGGGTTTTTTAGAGTTGTAAAATATCTCGCACATGGGTGGACAATAGGGCTGGCTGGGGAAGTTATGGAGACTTTTGAAAGGTCCCACTTTGGCAAGACTTCGAGTCTCGTATTTCTGGGGAACTGTATTACGGCTGGTTTGAGACCACGAAACTTTGAGGGCGTGGATGGTGGGGGTTGGACTTCTCAAAGTTCCACAAACAGTTGCGATTCCAGGGTTTGATATTGGGCCAAAAAATGGTGGCGTGAGACACGTTGGGTTTCTGATTCCGTGTAACCAGCCCAGGTTCCAAAATCTCGATTACTGAGAACGCGTCCTCTGATTTGCTTTGCTGAGGTTGGAAATTTACTCTCGCTCTCACAAGCGAGCCCTCGCACAAAGTTACCAAGCGTATTACCCTAGGAAATATGAGACGCGGGCTGTAAGGGTGAGAGAGAAGAGGCAGATAGGGTCTGGAGCGAGCAAGAGGCATGGAGCGAGGAGGGAGGGGGTAAGGAAAGGGGACGGAAACCGGTTTAATCAGAAACTGGTTACCGACGGGGCTGGCTTTTGTTCCCTCTGACTTCTCTCCGCCCTACTTACCTCTCTACCCCCAACCCAAAGCAAGTTGCGATAGCCATGAGCATCGGAATGTACAGAGGCATCTCATGGGTTCAAGCAAGGTCTTCTGAGAATTCTCAAAGTTCTCTTAAAACCCGCGGCCCAAATTGTTCAAACGCACTGCGTATGAACTTTGACCCTCAGGCTGTACGAAATACGCTGGAAAATCGCGAGGGCGTTTACTCTCGCAAATTCAATGTTTGTCGTGAACCGTCAGATTTACAAACACACAGTTTGACGGATGAGATTGCCTTTCGCGCTGACTGGGGGAAGTGCTTGGCTTACGCGCCGTCAGATGAAAATCTGGAAAAATTGGACGGTTGAAAAACGCTCAGCACCTTGTGTTCCAAATTACCTTCCGCACTGAACTTGAAAGGCACCCCTGAATGACGAGAGTCCCTATACACCCACGAAAACGCAACTTTCAAGCGCATTGCATTTGAAGGCCGCGCCTCGCAATTTGGGCCGCTGGTTTTAACAGTCCCGTGAGAGTCTCACCTCACCCGAGGGTCCAAGGGTCTTCTATTCACTGCAACCTTTCCCCCTCACCTCTGCTCTGTGCTCTCCTACATGCTCCACTGCTCATCCTCCTCTCCCCACTGCTCTCCCTCCTCCCCCCCACTCCTCTCCCTCCTCTCCCCCACTCCCTCTCTCTCCTCTTCCCCACTCCTCTCCCTCCTCTCCCTGCTCCCCCTCCCTCCCTTCCCCCCCCCCCTCCAGGCGGTGAACGGGCTGACCATCAACGTGCGCAAGATGTTTCTGGAGATGGACCAGGCGCTCTACGACGACTGCCAGAGGCAGTTCCTCGAGGACGAGGGCCGCGCTGCTGACGTGGAGGAGCTACGCGCCGCCACGTGGCAGCGCCTGGAAGAAGCAGCAGTGGCAGGAGGGGCAGGGGGGCCGGGGGTAGGGTTGCAATCGGGGATGGATGTGGATAGAGAAAACAGGTCGCAAGACTACGGAAACAACCTAGAATGACATCTTTCATGACACACTGGATTGGAGCCTCTAGATTCGCTACTTCTTGTGGCACTCGCCGCCTCGTTACTTACGATTGTTTCCCAGATCTCCTCTTTGTCAAAAGCCTTCCAATACTGCCTTTATGGGATAGCCATGTCAGCTTATTGAACCATGACATTGAAGGTATAATTTCTCATAAAGTGTTGTTGCTAATGATAGCGACTTGCATGTTAGAATTCCTTAGTTTTAACATTTTTTAGTGTGTACTACACTGTATTAGTAACAAAGTTCCACTAACGCTTCGGCGAAAACGTGCGACATCAGCGACCCCTCACGAAGGCTTAGAAACTTGTGCGACTGGTCAATGCCGAACTTCCGATCGCAGAAGATTGCCTGACAGATTCTGAATACCTCGCTCCGATTAGAGTTGGACCGCGGGGGAGCTGCGAAAAGAAATCGACTACGGCAGTTATTCCTCCTAGTGAGTACCATTAGTTGCCTTACTAGTTACACCAGACGATACCCAGGGACCATTCCTACTCACTTCAGTATCTACGCTTGCATTCTAGGCAAAGCTGGCATAGGGTTTTGCGGGTCGGTACTTGACCCGCTATCTCCGCAGATCTAGGCAGATTCGACTGCGTCAGCATGACGTCACGGTCGCGTCCGTAGCTCTGAGAAGCTTCTCGAGCCTATCGTCTTGATTGGTGGCATCCTAGGTCTATAATCCTGGCCTATATTGCCGCCTAACCTGAAGTTATCGTGCTTCGCTTCCCAGGTGCGGTGCGCTCCTTATACAGAAAACCGTACCAAGAGCATTCGTCGGTCGTCGTGCGTGCTGCTAGTTAAAGTCATTTCGCGAACAGATCGTCTCTTCTAAAAGCGGTTCAAGCTAATCTGCAAGTCGAAAGCCATTGTAGCGGTTTAGCAAACAGTGAGCCGTCGCAACTGTTTCGCATCGCAGCACAAGGCCGAAGTAACCATTTCGGGTTGCCAGCAGCAGCGAAACGAAGAAGATGCGGAAGCGGGAGCGCGAGAACCCGTGCTTCATCTGCGGGCACTACCACAAGTACGAGGAGGGCGAGCCGTGCGGGGTGTGCGGCCACCGCCTCATCGCCGCGGACGAGCGCAGCAGCGGCGGGGGCGCGGCGCAGGCGCACAGCGCATTTTCGTCGGAGATCCTCCCCGGGTTCCTCTTTTGCGGCAGCTACGACAACGCGTCGCGGTCGGAGCTTCTTAAAGCGCAGGGGATCAGCCGGATACTGAATGTGAGATGCAGGGGTCGCAGATGGGCCCTGGGTTCGTGAATGTGCGAAGCAGGGTGGCCCGTGGATCACCATGTCCGTTCGAATCTGAAAAGGGCAGGACCGAGGGGGAGGAAGAGGGGGAGGAAGAGGGGGAGGAAGAGGGGGAGGAAGAGGGGGAGGCAGAGGGGGAGGCAGAGGGGGAGGGAGAGGGGGAGGGAGAGGGGGAGGGAGAGGGGGAGGGAGAGGGGGAGGGAGAGGGGGAGGGAGAGGGGGAGGGAGAGGGGGAGGGAGAGGGGGAGGGAGAGGGGGAGGGAGAGGGGGAGGGAGAGGGGGAGGAAGAGGGGGAGGAAGGCGGGGAGAGAGGCGGGTGGACAGGAATCTGTCGTGACGCACCTTCATCCATGCGTGCATGCATTGTCCCTCTGCCTGCCATGTCACACCTTCCTGTCTTACCGGACCCCTTCAACGTCGCTCCACCACCTACCTCCTACTATGTTATTCCACCAAGAACCATCATGTGATCACACCAGCAGCTCTTGCGTGGTGTAAGACATACCGCCATGCCATGCCGTCACACTGGTCCAAGTATCGATCTTCTCCCTTCCCCCTGCCTCCCTCCTGTTTTTCTTGTGCTGTTGTTGTTTGCTATGGCCTGTTCACTTTCCACTGTTCACTGCAGACGGTGCCCACGTGTCAGAACCTCTATAAGAACTCTTTCGTTTATCACACAGTCCAAGACAGCAAAGTCATTCCCTTTGAGGAGTGCAACGAATTTATTGGTATACGGCCACTCCATGCCTTGCCATGCCATACCATGCATTTCCATGCCATACCATGCATTGCCATGCATTTCCATGCCATAGAATGCATTGCCATGCATTTCCATGCCATACCATGCATTGCCATGCCATGCCATGCCATGCGATGCCCTATGTCCTTTGCCATGCATTACCATGCATTTCCATGCCATGCCATGCCATGCGATGCCCTATGTCCTTTGCCATGCATTACCATGCATTGCCCTGCATTACCATGCATTTCCATGCCATGCCGTGCCATGCGATGCCCTATGTCCTTTGCCATGCATTGCCATGCATTACCATGCATTTCCATGCCATGCCATGCCATGCCATGCCCTATGTCCTTTGCATGCTCGCCCATACCATCGAGGGCCTGCCCAAAAGTTTGTCCTTTCCTTGCCCTCTGACCATCGTCCAACCTCCTCTCCCCAACCCTGCGTCCCTCCCCCCACCGCCTTTCTCTCTTTCCCCCCTCCCCCCCCCCTCTACAGTCCTCCCCGCCTCTCGCCCTCCCTCCCTCCGCTGCTTCCTCTCCTCCTCTCCTACCTGTTCCTTTCCTCTCGTCCCTTGGGTGCATGCTCTATTATATCAGCGCCACCATGATCTTCCCATCTTCCTTTCCATCCTCCCCTCCCCCTCCCCGCCCCCCCTGCTCCTCTGGCAACAGAGCAATGTCAGCGGGACCAGGCGAAGGTGCTGGTGCACTGCATGTCCGGCCAGAGCAGGTACGACCTCCTCTGCTTTACTCGTTATAAACCAGGACTTTGAGGGGCCTCAGAGGCACTGTGGGTGGGGGAACGCCAAGGTGCTTTGTTCCTTGCCAGCATACCCCTGCGCCTCCCCTGCGCCCCCCCTGCGCCTCACCTCCTCACACTGACTCCCATATCAGATGGCCGCCAGCAGTGGACGCAGGCATATCCCCCCACCTGCCTTGCCTTATCAGTCCACTCGTTCAAAGCAGGACCCCTCCAGAGCACGCACTCCTCCTCTTCGTCTCTGCAGAGCCCGTTCCTCCGCGTGCTCTTGCAGGTCGGCAGCAGTGGCGGTGTCATATTCCCGCACCTGCCTTCTCAATTTACTCACTCCTCCTCTTCTTCTCTGCACTGTGCGTTCCTCCCCGCGCTCTTGCAAGCTGCCAGCAGCAGCAGTGGTGGTGGGGTACCTGTTGAGGGCAAAGACGGGGTTTCAAGCTGGCTTTGAGGTGCCTTGAACCTCATCCTCGTCTTGGAACCTCGTCCTTCGTTTGCCTTGATGCCCTCCGCCTTACCTTGCAGGTCGCCAGCAGTGGTGGTGGGCTACCTGATGAGGGCCAAGGGGGTGAAGCTACCAGAGGCTGTTGCATGGTTGAAGGAGAGACGGCCGTCAGTCAACATACAGCCCGGTAGGCAGAGGTCACGAGCCACAGTGAGCGTGTTCTTCATCGTCCTTGTCATACCATACGCCGCAACTGGTGACTATGCCACCTGTCTCATCTGTTACGTCCTTCGCGTTTTGGGGGTATTTCGGGAAATTTCAGCGTACGCCGACAACTCCCAGTCGCTACGGATGCATAAGATTCTTGTTCTCCTTTCCCCAACCCGTGCTACTGCCAATCCGCCTCATATTCTTCCCCACCGCCCCCTCCCCCGCCCCCCCCACCACTACCCGTCTCTCACATCTCGCCCACCCAGCCATGCTGGAGCAACTGCAGGCTTTTGAAGCCCGTCTCTTTGGAGGCTCTGCTGCTCTTAATTCGTCTCAGCCGCAGCCGCAGCAGCAGCAGCAGCAGCAGCAGCAGCAGCTTTTCCAGCAACCAGCAGCTGCATCTGACCACATTACTCCGCTCTCTGCCCCCGGGCAGTTCCCCAGTAACGCTTCCTCCGCCCCCTCCTCCTTCCCCCCTCTCCCCAATTTCCCCTTCCCCATGCCGCCGCTTCCCCTGGGCCCTGACGCCAACCCTGCTGCTGGTGCCGGCGCTCCGTTTGCAGGCCTGCCGCCTCTAGCCCCTGCCATGCCCTCTTTGGCCCATGCACCTTTCCCGCCAGGTGGCGGTTTGCCATTCGCTTTCCCTGGAATGGGACCTGGTGCTGGGGGCAACCCGCCAGAGGGGTTCGTGTTTGGGGCAGGGCCGACGGGGGGAGGTGCCACAGGGCTGGGGGAGAATGGGGGAGGTGGACAATGAGTGCAGCTGAGAACATGTTTGGTGGGGGGGGGGGGAAGTGTCGGTCAATGCCTAGAATCGGCGGGTTGGGCTTGGTAAACGTCTCATCCTCTCAAGTGAAGGATGGTTGTGTTATAGCACCCATGTACAAAGTATGGTATGGCAACGCATGCTGTTTACGACGAGGGTTGGATGTAGGTGTTGACGATATCTAGGTTTATCTGTAAAGTACACCCTCTTCTAGCATACTATGCTGTGTATGTTTCCTGACGTTCTAAGGATGCTTTTTATTCACTGTAACACTACAGTGCCCTCCTATTAGCGCGTTTCGTCAGCAATTATTGGAGTGCTGCTGCTTCACCAAGCAGCTTCTCTCCCTCACTCGTCTTCCCTCACACGACCCATCCCACCCCATCCCACCCCATCCGTTCCTGTCCTCCCGACTGACCCAAACGCGTTCCCATTCCATTCCTCCAGGCCTCCCGCACCTCCTCGCCTCAGCTGGCGTGCGCTAGCCCGGGCTTTCTCTCCCCTATGGGTGACGCTAGTAGAAAGCGCGGGAGGAATGCGCGGCAGAGCATTGTATGTCGTGGCGTAGAGGAACGGAAGCGTGTCCATTTCCTTTGCAAGCAACCTCTGAGCATCTGGATCTTAGGCGCGGCGCAATTCGTCTTAGGAGGCTCTTTATCATTTGGCCGATTGCTCCGGCCTGCCAGGAAAAGCAAGCGTCGTCGCGCTAACTCGCGTCATCCACGCAAATTCGAGCTAGGCTTGGCTTCTCTTTCTTCCTTTTCTCGATAGTAAACCACCAATCGGCGTCGACTCCTTCGTCAGGAAAGGCCAACCGGCGGCCATGGCTTGTACCAAGAGCACCTCTCATGATGGACCACGTATAAGCCCCTCAATGCTCTCCGTTCACCGGCCTTTCAACGTGATCATCTTCCTCGTCGCTCTTCTAGCTCTTCTGCACGCGACGGCGTCCGCCGTCGCTTCGGAAGCTGCGCGGCCGGGGAAGCTTCCAGCCACCACGCCGGTTTCCGCCAATAGGCACCTCCTTTCGGACGCGCAGCGCCAGTCGGCTCAACCAGTCCAGGTTTCAGTCACAACTCTCGTCGTTTCGGTGTCGCAGGCGACCGCTCGCATGCTCTATACGATGTTTCCTGAAACCCGAAACGACGATCGCGACCACGCGCACTATCTCGACCCGCAGAATCGGGCGCGCGCAGAAGTCGGTTCCGCTCCGCTCGTGTGGGACGCGGATCTCCAGGCGCAGGCGGAGCGACTGGCGGACTACCTTGCGCGCGAGGAGGGCTGCGCGCTGCAGCGCCTGCACGAAGTCAGCGCGGGGGTGAATCTGCGCTGGGCGGCGGAAAGCTGGGGGGTGCCCGCGGAGGCGGGGGCGGCAGTGGCGGAGTGGGTGCGCGAGAAGGCGCACTACCAGCGGGATGCGTTCCCCGCGGGGTGCGCGGAGGGTCGGGAGTGCGGGCACTACACGCAGGTGGTGTGGAAGCGGACGGAGCGCGTCGGGTGCGGAACGGCGATGTGCAACGAGGGGGGAGCCGTTTGGGCGTGCCGCTATTTCCCGCCCGGCAATATCGAGGGCTACCACCCGTATTGACTACGAGCATCTAATTCTGATTATGATCAGGACAGGGAATCGAGAAGTGGTGGTTCCGATCGCACACGATAAGAGACGAGAGACGAGGGTTTGGTAAGAGTTGGCGATTCCTGTCAGATTTGAAAATGCTACAGCAGAGTATTTTCATTTGGTGCTCGCTGACAAGCGCAAAAGACGGCGGAGCAATACAATAATCGAACGAGTACAGAACGATGCGCTTTTTGTTTACTGTTATTCTTTGCTTCTATTTATTATAGACCCCATGATATGTTTCCCATCTATGTATGGCCCGAGGAAACTTGAATACATAGATAAAGTAGATCCGTTAGCATGACGTCAGACCTACGATTTCTGATTATCTAGACATTTATTTCCTCTATTCTGTTTAAATCGGCCTTAAAATTTAGCTACTTGTGTGTGACCCCTCACCGAATATACCCCATCTACATTGGTTGCCAAGTCAGCAACCACTCGCCAAAAAATTCCCCACGTAAGGCAGCTAACTTTGGCCCTTGCTCTCGCGAAGTGAGGACCAGAGCAATGGCTGCAGCAGCAGCTTGCTCACTCTCTTGCGTACAAGAAGTGGGTGCATTATGGTGTTGTCCTCCTACTGGCTCCCCGGGCCACATAGCAGTCTACTCAAAAGCCATCTCTGCTCCGTACAGCTGCCACGGCACGCCATCATTGCACACGAGACGGCCGCCACACTCACTTGCGCACGAGCAGCGGGCGCATCATGTCGTTGTCCTCGTGCTCCAGGATGTGGCAGTGCCACACGTACCCCGGGCCCTGCGACGGATCAAATGAAAAGGGCTTGCCATCCTGGTGCGGAGGAACATGGGAGAAGAGGGAACGTGAGAGAGGAAGGGGAGGCAGTAGAAGGCGGGAGGGAAGGTAAGAGCTTCCATAGGACCCGGCGTGGCGAGGATGGGGACATGCAAAGAGGATGGGATGAGGCTCATGCTCCGATGGCATCATCACAAAAAGGCCTTACACCAAATTAGGGGAGATGTGAGGATAGGAAGGCGGTAAAGAAGGGGGGGAGGAGAGGAGGGAAGGAAGGGGAACAGAGTGTATGAGAGGTTTGTTGAGCCAGGGTATTACACACCTGGGAGCGGACGGCAACGAGGATAGATAGCACCTCCCCTGGGTGCGCCTTGGTTGTGTCCTTCCACCCCATCTCGTTGAAGTCCACCCTCCTCGCCCGCCCTGTGAAGCACGAGGGGTACCCACCCTCGCCAGCACTCATAATGCTGACGTCACTGCTCATAGTGCTGACGTCACTGCTGCCATTGCTACTCATAGTGCTGCTGCCACCGCTGCTGCTCATGCTGCCACCAGAACCAGGGGAGGAGGAGGTGGAGGGGAGGTTTACGGGGAGCGTGCAGTCCCCAGAGAGGAAGGCGTCGGAGTTGAACGGGCGGCGGGCGAAGGGGCGGTGCTGCATGAGGTGCAGGTGGATGGGGTGGGAGTCGGCCGTGGGGTTGATGAGGTGCCATACCTCCACTGCTCCCTGTTTGTGAGGAAAAGGGGGGGAAGGGTGGTGAGAAGACGGGGGAGTTAGGAGTGGTTGTATGGGGCGGTGCTGCAGCAGATGCAGGTGGATGGGGTGGGAGTTGGACGTTGGGTTGATGAGGTGCCATACCTCCACTTCGCCCTGCTTGCACGCACAGAGGAGGGGGAGCGAACAGGAGGAAGGGGGGAAAGGGGATGGCGGTATGTAATAACAACACTCATGCACAACGGCACAACACCAGCACCAGCAGCGGCAGCAGCACCAGCAGCGGCAGCAGCAGCAGCAGAAGCAGCAGCAACAGCAACAGCAGCAGCAGCAGCCGCAGAAGCACCAGCACCATTGTCCAAAAACCAGGAAACAGGAGCCCTTACATTCTTTAGTATCTCGGTTGGGGGTTGAAGGAAGGCCCTGCCGTTGAGCTGCGCTGTGCGGCATGCGATGTCATTTCTTCCTCCCTTATGCCACATGTTGTGTACTATGTGCGCTGCATGCGGCTCTTACATTCTTGAGAATCTCGGTGGGGCGGTCCAGGAAGCCCAAGCCGTCGAGCTGCACGACTGTGGGGAAGCCGCTGTCCCGATCCGATATCTCCCCCAGCACGTGCCACCGGGTCGTGGACACCAGGTTGAAGGGGATGCGCTCAAGAGGCTGAGGAGACAGGGGCAGACGGGCGCAGAGAGGGAGAATTAGGCAGTGTGTGGGCGCAGCAGGGAGGGCAGGTGGGCAAGCCGCTGTACCTTTCAGGTACCTCCCCCAGCATGTGCCACCTGGTCATGGACACCAGGTTGAAGGGGATCCTCTCAGGGGCCTGAGGGAGAGAACGGAGCACAGGGAGCAACCAAGGCAGTGTGGGCACAGCAGGGAGAGGGCACTAAGGCACTAAGCAGAGAGTCTGTGCAACCACGTCCTCCACACCAGGTTGAAAGGGGGTGCGCTCCAGAGCACAGGGAGTTGAGTGAGGGCGGATAGGCGGGTTTTGAACGAGGAAAGGTGGCAAACCATGGGAGTTGAAGAGCTCTTGAGAAATTCCAGAGAAGTCCAAAGAATCTCACAGCCTGTCCGCCTCTCCGCCTGTCCGCCTGTCCGCCTGTCTGCAAGTCAGCCTGACTCACCCGGAGTGCTTTTGGAATGGGCGGCGAAGGGATGGCAGTCTTCTTGGTGAGGATGAAGCGCATGATGACCGCCGTGTCGGGCGACACACGCTCGCCTGCAGGTAAGGCAGGGAGGGATGGGCAGTGGGGTGGGCAGTGGGGTGGGCAGGGCCATGAGGATCAAGGCAGTGCATGGCAGTGTCTGATGAAAGGATGAAGCGCATGATGACAGCCGTGTTGGGGGAGCAGCCATTGGTGGGCGCGTGATAGTTTAATAGGTGGGGTAGGGCGTCTGTGCCCTACTGGCGAGCAGCACGTGGCATCACGGCACGGCACCACAAGGGTAAAGCCACACGCAAGTGGCTGTGAGAGTCACCAACAGGGTAGGGTGCGCGTGCGCGGTTAGTGAGCAGCATGTCACAGCACCACGAGGAGGCTTCGTTGCCAGCAAGAGATTGTGATGGAAGGTGACCCGAAACTTCATGCGACCACATGCAAATCGAGGTGAGGTGACACCACACACCAGCAGGGAAGGGCGTCCGTGCGCGGTTAGTGAGCAGCACGTCGCGGCACCACGAGGGCGCCTCGTTGAAATCCACCAGCACGTCCAGCCGCTCGCCTGGCGCCACCAGCACTCCCGGCATGCGCAGAGGACGGGCCAGGTAACCACCGTCACTGCCGATCTGGAGTTAGGAGGGAAGGAAAGAGAGGATGTATGAGAGCATGCGCTGGCGCTCCCCCGGCGCCACCAGGGCTCGTGACATGTGCAGGGGACGGGCAGACAAGGTAGCCACCACCAGCGCCAATGTGAAGATGAGAGGGGTACGAAGGAAGGGGGGAGATAGGAGAGGATGTGGAGTCGCCACTTCGGCGACGCCACCAGTTGGCATGCCCAGGGGAGGGGCAAGGTAGCCGCTGTCACTGCCAATCTGCGGAGTGCGGAAAAGGGAGGGAGGAAGAGCCGACGTAGGTAGGGCGGGAGGGAGGGAGGGCGAATAAGTGGGAATAAACCCCTGTGGAACAGGAGCGGTGGAGGTGGGGCAAGTGGAGCAGACGGAGTGGGCAAGCGTGGGGTGCGTCTTGAGTCGGGCCAAAGTTTCTTGCACAGGTGGTGGAAGCGAGCGGTGGAGGCTGTGGGGGGATGATAGGTCCGGTGGTTGCAGGCAGCTGAAAGCACAGGTGGTAGAGCGTCCCTGAGTCAGGGGAAGTTGTGGCAATCACCCCTCACAGCGCACTGGAAGCGGCGCCCCAGTGGTAGAAGCGAGGGTAGTAGAAGCGCGCGCGCATTGGACGCCGCTGCACTCAAGACGTCAGTGCAGAAGAGCGCAGCGCAGAGCGCACCTGAGTCATGGGGATGATGGGGCCCCTGAAGGGCGGCTTGACCTCGTGGTAGCCCCCCCGCACGTCGCACAGGAAGCGAGCATTGGCTGGGAGCGAAGCAAGCAAGCACCCTCGTGCAAGCAGAGCAGACCGCACCTGAGTCATGGGGATGATGGGGCCCCTGAAGGGCGGCTTGAACTCGTGGTAGTCGCCGCGCACGGCGCACTGGAAGCGCAGGTGGTAGAAGCGCGCGTTGGACGCCCCCAGGATGGGCAGGCGGTACAGCGCCCGCCGCACCTTCATGTATGGCCACACCTGGGGGGGGGAGGGGGGGGAGGGGAGAAAAAAGGGGGGAGGGGGAGGGGGAAGGGGAGAGCCGCATTAGACAATGGGTCCTTCGTATGGCAGGCGGTAGAGCCCCCGGCACACCTTGAGGCATGGCCACACTTGAGTGGACGAGGGGAGATGAGGGGAGGTGCATCACACACACATGGCACATGGTACATGGTACATGGTGCATGGTGCAAGGCACATGGTGCATGGCCCATGGCCCATGGTGCATGGTGCATGCATCACGCATGGTGTATATTGCATGCATGGCACATGACGCACCGCACCCATTCTCTCTCACACCACACCCCTGACCCCACCCATTCTCTCAGCCCTATTACCCTTCCATTAACAGTGATCGTATCGCCAAAGAACTCAGGCTGCCAGTGCGGGTGCTCCCTCGGAAGAATCCCGTCCGTCGGATAATCCAACGAACCGTTGGGATGAAACCGGCGATCGGCGATCGCGAGGGGCATGAAGAACGGCCCTCCCGGCTGCGGGACCCACTTGTTGATCTCCCTCTCCTCCCCCTGGGGATCCGTTACAAGGTACAACCCCGCCATCCCCGCCATGACGTTTATCCTCGTTATAGCAATGGCGTGGTCATGATACCACACTATAGAGGGCTTCTGGTTGTTGTGGTAGTGGTACAGCCGTGTGGAGTAGGCGGGCCCTTTCTCCCCGAACTGAGTAAACCACGCCTGGGGATGCCCGTCGTATATGCTGTGGGTCTCACCCCCGTGCCTGTGAGGCACTGGAAAGAGGGAGACGGGGGGGAAGAGGGGGAGAAGGAGGAGGGAGAAGCGGGGTTTCGGGATGGGAAAGATGGTTTCGGGTTGTTGCGGTAGTGGTGAAGATGCTCGAAGCAGGTGGGGCCCTCTCTCCCCGAGCTCTGTGAACCATGCTTGAGGGTGCCCGTCGTGCGTGCAGTGGGTCTCAACCCCGTGCCTATGGGGGGCTGAAGGGTGAAATCCAGGGGGAGAAATGGGGGAGAGGTGGGGTTGGAAAGAAAGTTATTGGGGCAGGAGAGCTGGATTTCTGGTTGTTGAGGTAGCATTTGAGGCCGCTCAAAGCACGCAGGAGAGAGGGCTTCTTCGTAGTGGTTTTTGAGTGGTCTCAAAAGTCACTTCCGGGTGTTGGGGTGGGGTGGTGGTAGAGCTGCGTGGAGGAGGTGGCGCCCTTCTCCCCGTACTGAGTGATGTGAACCATGCTTGAGGGTGGCCATCGTACGTGCTGTGGGTCTCACCCCCGTGGCGATGGGGGACTGAAAGAGGAGAGGGAATGGCAATGCATTTCATGTATGGGATGGCATGGCATGGCATGGCATGGCATGTACGGCATGGCATCGCATGTGCGGCATGGCATGGCACCGATGCAAAAGTGCTGCAAAACATAGCACATATCAATGAAGCCCCGCCCTTCTTGGGCTTGGGGATCATGAGAGTGCCGTCCAGCTGTTTTGTGCCAGCCAGGGTGGCATGGCATGGCATGGCATGGCAAGGCACAGTGACTGCACTACTGCAGCTATCAACACTCACCAATGGGCACGCCGCCTTTCTTTGGGCTTGGGGATCATGAGAGTACCGTCCAGCTGAATGCTGGCAGAATGGCGTGGCATGGTGCGTAAGGCCAGGCATGGCATGGTGCGTAAGGCCAGGCATGGCATAGCACTCACCAATGGGCACGCCGCCTTTCTTCGGGCGGGGGATCATGAGCGTGTCGTCCAGCTGAATCATGTGCTGCCGGTCCATGATGTGGTTCGACCAGAAGATCTGACCGGATGGGGGGGGAACAGGGGAAGGGAAGATGATGGGGGGGGGGGGGGTAGGGGGGAGGGGAAGGGGTGAGAGTGTGGGCCAGCTGAGTCATGTGCTGCTGGTCCATGATGTGGTTCGACTCGAGCACCGGATCGGACACACACTGGGAGAGGGAGGAAAAGAGAGGTGGAGGGGGGGTGGGAGGGGAGGGGGAAGGGGAGGGGGAAGGGGAGGGGGAAGGGGAGGGGGAAGGGGAGGGGGAAGGGGAGGTGGGGGTGGGGGTGGGGGTGGGGGTGGGGGTGGGGAGAAGAGGGAGGCGACGTTTGAACGCGTCGTATGGCTGCAGTGCAAGGCAAGCTCGCAGACTGCAACCTGGCACTGCGGACTGCAGTTTGCAGGCTGACTGACACGGAGCGACGACGGCTGTTCAACAACAGTAAAACCCCAGAGCCTGCGCGCGAGAAAGAGCCTGCGAGCGAGAAAGAGCCTGTGAGCGAGAGAGTGCCTGAGAGCCGCACCTGAGTGTCCTTCCCCTTCCGCGCCACTATCGTGGGCCCGGGAAACGCGGCGGTCTTCTGGTTGAGCCCGTACGCATAGAGCTTCGTCGGCGGCAGGTCACGGTGGAATTTCTGAGAGGTGGGGGGAATGGAGATGGGAGGGGGAGAAGAAAGAGGCGGGGAGGGGGGAGAGGGGAAGAAGGGGTGGGGGAGGGGGTGGGGGGAAACCATTCGATGAGCTGGTATGCGTAGCTTTGTGAGGCGCTGTCAGAAATTCGACAGTCGATCGCATCCGTTGATCCTGACGCGAATTCATGATTTTTCGGGAAACGAGGGTGCCTCCAGGTGTGGAACAGGCCAAAATGGGTGGTGCACCACCACCACCTGCCGCCCAGCACGTGCAGCAAGTTATTACACCACCTCTCCCAACCGATTTCAAGTTTCGTGAGCGCAAGCAAACGCCGCAACGTCGCAATACACGACAACGTCGCAACTCTCGAGGGGGAGTGCTTCGGGAATTGAAAAGCCGCGCGCAGCCCTTCGCAGGGCGCTCGCGTGTCACCCGGCTTGGGGGAGATCGTTCGAGCAACGATCGCCACGCAGAGAGGATCGTGACCGCCCGCGAGCTGTGAGCGGGGCGCCGTTCGAGGCGCCTCAAAAGGGACTCGTGCTCGAGCAACCCACGCACTGCAGAGGGGCTCGTGGGCGCGCGGCTGCGATCGCGGCAGACGAAAGGCGAACGCTGGGGTGACATTTGTGTCGAGGGTTTAGGCTCGACTGTAAACCGACATTTGAGTCAAGGGTTTAAGATCGATCCTAAATCCTGAACGTAGGAGTGGTTGAGCGGCCCACCGAAATGGCCTCGGGCGCTAGTAGGCGGCATTGGCGGAGCGCCAAGTACTCGCGGCGCTCGGGCCGGCGGCGCCTGAGGTCAGGGGTTGAGCCATGCGCAATCCACCTCGAATCGCGGCCGCTTCTGCCCGAATCGCGTGCTTTACGGGAGTCACATATGTTCCAACCGCGTCGTGCCTCGTTAGATTTAAAAGACCGACGCGTCGCACCTGACGGCCGAGTCGCACCTGGTAGATCTGGTAGACGCCGATGCGAACTAGTTTCCCGTCGCTCGTGTCGACGGCGACTCGCATAGTCGTCGCCAGGTCGTCCACGAACTTGCACAGCGCGCGCGCGGGGAACGCGTTGCGACATTTGGGGCCCGTGACTGGCGTCCCCAGCGCTCCCGCGTTGCTTGCGCCTGGGGGAAGGGGTATACGGCACGCGGGGCGCACGGTGGGGGGTTGGGCAGGTCAGCAGAAATGAGTCGCATGAGTCGCATGAGTCGCATGGCCGTCGCCAGGTCGACGCTTGAGAAAGCGTGCGAAAGCGCCGACGCGCAGAGAACCTCTCTGCATCGACCGCGCTGAACGCTTTGCGACACTTGGGGAGCCGGTCGCCGGCGTCCCCTTCCGAAGCGGAGTCCGCCTCACCTGGCACGAGAGGAGTGGGGGGGCGAGATCGGGGGTGAGCGATCCGGGGGTTGGGGGGATTAGCAGCCAGCGGGGGAAAGAAGTTCAGTGCAGCGGAATTGGGGAGGGCGGGCTCTTCGTGACGAGCTACGCAGCGCGCGTTGGGCGCGCGGAGGGGGGTGACTAGACCCATTGTCATCCGCGCGAGTGGCGAAGGCTGAGAGGGTTACCGTTTGCGAAGACATTCGCGCGGGTGGCGAAGGCGGAGACGAGCAGCAGCCCCAGAGCGAGGCGCACGGCCGCCGTCGCCATGCTCGGACTCGGAGCCATCGCGGCTCGCGGCATGCGGATTTACGGCTTGCGGATCGAGGGAGGTCGGCGGGGAGAACTCCCCGACTCCGAGTCGCGAATCGCGAGTCGCGGGTTGCGGCTTCCGGCTCTCGGAAGGCGGGGAAAGTTCCGCAAAGCCCGTAGGGGAACGCGCGGCGCAAGTAGGTAATGTTTGCTCAGCGGAAGCGGATGATACCATGCAGGTGTCGACCGCGGCTTGCGGGAATCACTGAGATTAACAAACGACCCGGAGGCCTTGAGCGTTGGAGGCTCGCGCCGCGTCTTCCCAACTACGAAGCGTTGCTATTGGCCCGGAGAAGGCTGCTCGGAGGGGCACTGGAGCTCAAAATGCCTCGGAGGATAAGGGGAGAGGAGGAGGAGGATAACTTATCGCGAAACGCGATATGCAGCAATAACTGGAAGGCAAGATGACTTGCTAGGTCTAGTACTAGCGGCGACTCTGAAAGTGCATTCGGTGGCAGAAATCGGGATAATGAGAGCAAGCCTGGCGGAGGAGGAGCATGCGCCGTGCGCTGTGGCGCAAGGCCGATCGAAGCGCGCGCTTCGGGGGCGTGGGGGGCAAACACTGGAGGCAGTGGATGGAAAGCCGATCGAAGACGCTACGGAATGCTGCTCTGAGTGACTGAGGCTCATAAGCCGTTGAGAGAGGGGCGGCCGCGACGGCCCCCATCTGGGGAAATGCTGGCGTGGTCTAAGAGTGGAAATGGGCGGCCGCGACGGCCTGAGCCAGAAGGAACAATTGAAAGTCGACATTGCGAAACAATTTGTCGATGAAGAAAAGTGAATGACGTGTTTCTGATGAAGGTGATCGGACACCTTTTCGAGTTTTGCTTCCGCCGGACGGCTGAGATTGAACGACATTCCTCGGTTCAATTCCACCTTGGTGTGATGGACAAAAAAGCTGGGAAGCTCAATGAGAACTTGGGAAATTGGAGAGAACACGAAATATCTCACGCAGAGTGGAATGAACGCCAACAACAACTTTGGGCAGCAATGGAGGCCGCGTAAAAGTTGGGAGGAACGGAAGAACGAAAGGTGAATGCGTGACAGACAATTTGACACGGCTGCCACCACAATTTTCCAATTGAATGCTTGGCTGGCAGGCAATGTACAGTAAACATTCTTGGGACCAGTCGCTGTGTCGCGTTCTTTCGTGTTGAGTCGTGTTGTTGTTACGCACGCGTCAAGACCAGGGCTTATTTTTCAAGAATTGTTGCCCTGAATTTTGAGTCAAATAAAAGGTAGTTCTTCAGCTGGCCCCACAAGTTAAAGACTGGTTTGTTATTAACCCTAGGGTTCGGAGTTTATTTATAGTGTAACCCTAGAGATTAAGAGTATACCGTTTCCCTAGCCTGAATGTACTACTAGTGCTGATAGGGCTACAGCGGGGATCTCCTTAGGAGGAACAACTCCCTTGATCTCCCCTCACAGCACGTACTCACACCAACTTACAAACAGAGGGGAGATCACTCTGAAGATTTCCGTCCTTCTCCCCTCACAGCACGTTACTCACACCTCGTAGTCACAAACAGAGGGGAGACAGCACCCTTCGTAGATTTTCGTCATTCTCCCCTCACAGCCTCGTGCACATTACTCACGCCCTTTTCATCTTGATAGATTCGAACCTTGGCAGTAAAAAGGGTAATTTGCGAACGAGCCCTAATGATTGAGGAACGACTTCAACTAAACCCTAAACATTAAGAGTAAACTGTTAAAAAGCCTAATTGTTTTAGGGTGACTAAAAACCAAAAGTAAGCCCTGGTCAAGACCAAACACGAACAACCAGAAGCCGCTTCGAGCCGCGCCCGAGCATAGCCCCACGTGGATGAGGAGCACATCACACAGCTGAATCAGTGGCTGCAGGCGTGTGTGCGACATGAAGTCCGTCCCTTTCAGGCTATGTGTGTCGCTTGCTGCCAGGTGTAGCCCACGCGACCCTCTAACGACTAAACTAAACTCCTTCCAGCACATTCTCCAAACTTTTTTATTCGTTCACGTCTCGAACAACCAAGACGAACCAAACCCAGGGTTGAACGCAGCGCCTTGCGCTAAGGAAAGCGGCTGGCGCCGCCAGCGACGCGACGAGAGAAATTTTATGGGCAGAGAGCGTTGGGCATTTGGGGTTCTTTGGACCTTCCCATCACGCTATTCGCGAGAGTTGCTCAGAGCTTTGACCTGAGGCGCAGGCACAGGCTCGGGGAGATTTGACTTCAGGTCAAGTCTCTCCAGCATCCCCCTTACAATCGGGACATCAGATAAGTATCGAGGGTTCAATCTAATTTGGTTCTTATCGCTAAAACACAATGTAGAGAAATTAGGCCCATTGTGCATTCCGTAAGTGTTTTGCGCGAATCACAGCAAAACTCAAGTTGTCGGCCACTACCACAGCTCTAATGGCAATCCCGTAACACATTTCATCGTTTCGTGGTGGAACCAGGGTGCTGCCTAGCGCCTCATTGTGGTGAGTTGAAACTATTATCTTTTCAGCTTGCTGCTACAGTGATGATTCCTCCGGCCCAATTTCCTGGGGACTGGATGTCACTGGGGACTCGGAAAAAATAGCACTTGTAGTGAGGTATATGCAAGAAGCAGAGCAGGCCTAGAGAAGTAACCCAGCCGAAGTGGCCCGGAAAATGCTACTTCTTCGCCAAAGCAGATGCCAGCCGAACCAGGCCCAAGCTCCCCGAGCCTCCTGCTGTGGCTCGATGGCGGTAGAGCCGAAGCGCAACAGCGCTGGCAACCAGAGGGCAGGCTACAGCAAGGGCCAGATAGGCCAGGCGCCAACTGGGGGAGGCTGCAGCTGCAAAGAGGTGTGTGGAGGGAGCAGGAGAGGGGGTGGTAGGAGGGTGCTGGTGCAGGTGCTGATGGGGGAGGTGGTTCTGGTGATGGTGGTTGGTGCTGTTGTGGTGGGTATATGCTGCTTGCTCTGAGTCCTCGGGCTGTGGGTGGGAGCATGGGAGGGTGGGTGTACGCGCGCTGAGAGATAAAGTGAACGAGTAAAACAGAAGGAAGCGATACAAGGAGGGGCATGCGAGGGGGGAGGATTGGCAGGACTGACTAGCAGGAGGAAGGGTGTAACGGACAGGATGCACGGACAATTTAGAAGCGGGAGCGGAGTTGGAAAAAGGGAGGGAAATTGAGAAACAGAGGGATGGAGAGGGTCTGGTAGGTGAACGGGGCTCTAGCCAAGTAGAGTGAAGAATTTTGAAGGATTCAGAGAGATTAGGCACAGCAACATCTATTGAGTGGGTCAGTAAGGTGAATGGGTGCTTAAGAAGAATGGTTGAGAGCGGGCTGCGCCACACCTTGTGGTGATTCATGGGAGCAGTTTCGCGGCGCGGAGAGAGTGCAGCTTGCCGTGCTGATAGGGAGTGGGGCGATGGGAGGAGAATAGGGGGGCAAGAAAGCAAGAGCAGATGAATAACGCATTTCAGTGGGTAATGAAGGAAGGATGGCTTGCTACAAGGGCTGATGGGCTGAGGCGAGGGGGAAGGGGCAGGTGGGTGTGACGTGTGCTTGAAAGAATCAGGCTTCACCAAGATTTGCCAAATACACGGGTTAGAAAGGGAAGACGAGGGAACAATGAGCGGAAGGGAATCGAAAGGGAGACGTGAGAGGCTCACCGGCTGGTGAAGTATCGAGGCACCGTTGGATCTGGCACACACAGTGAGAGGAGGAGGTGTGGGGGAAAGGCAACAAAGAGAGGAAGGGATTAAGCGGTGAGAGACGAGGGAGGCTCACCGACTGGTGAAGTATCGAGACAACGTTGGATCTGCCACACAGAGTGAGAGGAAGAGGTGTGTATGTGGGGGAGAGGTGGTGAGAGGAGGTGAGAGAGGGTGAGGGGGGGTGAGGGAAGGTGAGGGGAGGAGCTAGGAGGTGAGAGCAGGTGATGAACCTTTCACCTCCTAACTCTGAAAGGGACTGCCACACCTCGCCTGATGCCCAACCATGCCCAACCATGCCCAACCATGCCCAACCATTCCCCACCATCCCCAACCATTCCCAACCATTCCCAACCAATTTTCCTGTTTGACAGCAGGAAAGGCAAGCGGGATTGGCAGGATGAATGGTGAAAGGATCACCCCGCAAACCACTTATGGAGTTATGCCCCACAACATCACCTTGCCGCCCCACACCATCACCTCGCCATGCCCTGCCGCCATACCCCTCCCATGCCCTACCTTGCTCATCAGTTCTCGGACCACCACAGCTGCCACCCGCAGCTGCTCCTCACTCTCAAACCGAATCTGCACCACCGCTGCCGCCGCTACTGGCCCCCCCGCTACTCCTCCTCCCGCTCCTCCTCCCTTTCCTTCAACTGTCCCTCCCGCTCCTCCCCTTCCCACGCCTGTGATCCTCCCTGTGCGTTCCACCCCACTCCCGCTGCTCAACCGGTTCTGCCCAGTCCCAGATACCACCTCCCCCAGGTCGTCCTCCCCACACATGCCGCCTGCAGGCCCCATCTCCCAATCGTCCTCCCTTCCCCCCTCCCCCACTCCGCTACCCACCTCCTCCACCTCCCCCTCCTTTCCCTCATCCTCGTCAGTAACAGACTCCCTACCGTCTATAGTACCTGCTAGCACCGACATGCTCACAGTGCTCATCCCCTCCTCCTCCTCCTCTTCCTCCTCCTCCCCTTCTCCCTCTCCCTCCACTCTCCCTTCCTCTTCGCCTTTCACCCAGTGAACCTTCCCCCGTCCTTCCCCCCTCTCGGCCTCCCCCCCAGCAGTCCTCCCTGTCCCTCCCACCAGCCCACTCGCTCCAGCAACCCTCCTTTCTAATCCACCACTACATGCAGCACCATCAGCAGCGGCAGCAGCAGCAGCAGCAGCAGCAACAGTACCCCCACTACCACTCTCATTCTTCCCGCATTCCTCTCCCTCCTCCCCCTCAATGCTAAACACCCCAATCGGACCGCCTCGCTTGCCGCCCCTGCCTGTCAGGCTCGGCGCACCAGGCCTCTCCTCCTGAGCGCCCTCCTCCGAGATGTTCCCAAGGGAGGACGAGGTTCGGCGGCGAGCCAGGGAGGTTTGGGAGGGGGAGAGAGGGGAGGAGGAGGAGGGGGGAGGGAGGGTGCCTAGGGCAGCAACAGAGCGGAAGGAGGGAGTGGAGGTGAGGAAAGGGGAGGGCTCCATGACATGGGGATGGGGATGTGGGGGCAGGGCGGTTGCTGCTGAGGAGATGGGAAGGACCTGTTGTTGGGGGATAGGGATGGGGGGAGGAGTAGAAGGGAGGGAGGGAAGTACACATGGGATGGGGGTGCTTGGGGGCAGGGCGGTTGCTGCCGAGGGGAAAGGAGTGGCATGTGGAGGAGTGGGAAGTGGGGGTTGGAAGGAAGCGTGAAAGAGAGGGCGGGCGGGAAGGAACAAACGTCCGAGGGAGTTGCCAAGGAAGGGAGGCAGCTACTGAGGAGGGGGCAGCGCAGCAGGTACCGGTGGTTGTGGGGGGAGGGAGCACAAGGGAGACAGAGAGGGAGAGGGGCAGGTCAGGCGAATGGGGCCCAGAGACCCGCGGGCCGTGGCAAGGGGACGATGGGGATAACGACTGCAAATGACGAAGGGGCGAGTGCTGAGGGGGGGAATCAGCTAGCGGTGGTTGTGAGGGAAGGGAGCACACATGGGAAAGAAGGGTGATAGGGGAGGTGAAACGGAGCATGAGAGACCAGTGGCAGGGGGATGAGGGGGGCGGAGGGTGCATAACTGGGCAACTGTTTGTTTCACTCTTGAAGGCTACCTCCCACTCGCATGCCCTGCAGTCTACCCATAGCCTCTTTAGGGAGAAGCCTACACTCGCATTCCCCACCTTCTCGCCAGCCTTCCTGGCATCAACCACATGGCGGTATGCTGAACATTCACACACTCGCACCTCACACCCCCAATAGCCACTCACATGCACTCACTCGCATGCCCCACATGCACTCACTCACATGCCCCACAATTACACACCCACACCTCACACGCCCCGTATCCGCCCACTCACATGCCCCACCAACTCGCCGGCCTTCCTGGCGTCAACCACAGCTTGCAGGAAGTCCAGCGACACCTGCACCCACCTGGGGGCGGGGAGGGGGAAGAGGGGAGGGGGAAGTGGGGGAGGGAAGGAGGTAGGGGGGAGAGCCGGAGGGGAACAGGGGGAGGGGAAGTGGGGGAGGGGGAGGATGGGGAGGGAAGGAGGGAGGGAGGGGAAGTAGGAAAAGGCGTGGGGGAAAATGCAGCAGCTTGGAGGAGGTGCAGCGACACTTGTGCCCGCGTGGTGGGGATAGTGAATGGAGAAAAAGCAACCAGGAATGCACATGTGCGCAGTGCTGTTTACTCATAGCAACTGCACAATGTGAGCAACTGGAGATTAGAGCTGCACGCACAAGCACATAAACATCAAACCCTGCAAGCGCCCACCATATACTTACGGCATACCTACTGTATACCCTACATACACTCAGCAGAAATCAACCATACACCCACTCTATACCCCCACCGTATACCCACTTCGCACCAAACAAATACCTACAATACACTATACCAATCCGCATGCCCTCCTATCCCAGCCTCCCACCAGATTCCATATGCTTCCATCCCACCATCCACATGCTTCCATCCCACCATCCACGACGCACCATATGCTGCTGGCAGTGAGCCCCTGCAGGTACGCCAGGTGCCCCCCGTGGTGCGACACCGCCAGCACCACGTTGGGGTTGCCTCTGAGCGCGGGGCGCGGTAGGAAGGCAAGGGGGAGAGAGAGGGGGGGTGGCATTAGGAAATCATTTTTGAGGCGCCTCGAAATTAGGAAAGCAGGGAACAGTGAGAAGGGGGTAGGGCGACGGATGGCTCTCATGGTGCGACACAGAGGACCCTGCAGGTTGGCTCTGCACGGGTGAGGCGTGGGAAGGGGAAGGGGAAGTGGGCGTGGAGCATGCAAGGGGCCGGGAAGGGGGGGGAATGGGACACTGCAGGTAAGCCAGATGCCCCCCCCCCCTGGTGTGAGACTGCCAGCACCACGTGCACACCCCTTCACGTCCTGTTACCCCACTCCACCCCTCTTAACCCCCCACTGACTTGGCTCCATCCCAGGGAATTGCTACTTTGGTGCTCTTGGGATAGTCCAGCGAGCTCACAGCCAGCATTGGCACAAACGCACACACCCCTTCACCTCCTGGTACCCCTCTCCACCCCTCCCATTTCGACACTCACTTTGCTTCGTCCCACGGAATCGCCTCCTTGGTGCAGATGGGGTCGTCCAGCGAGCTCACGGCCAGCAGCGGCACGGCCACCTCGGGGAGGAACTGGGCAGAGCTGCAGCGCCGGTAGTAGGTGTCCACGGTCTGAAATGGGAGATGAGAGAGAAAAAAGGGACAGAGGGGCAGAAACACGACGTGGCAGGGGAGATGGCTGACAGGCATGAGGGGCAGAAGAGAATAATTGAGTAAGCAGCCAAGAGGCTCTATTGTACAAACAAGGAGCAAGGAAGAGGTGAAAGGGAAGCTCCCCTATTGGCCACAATGTGGACCAATGGGAGAGGTTGTTTGGAAGGCAAGTAACCACAAATTGTGGTGCTTGGTGATTGGTGGTTCTTAAGACCATTTGGTTGGAATAGTGTCAACCAAATGTCTAGGACCAAATCCAAACTTGACCAACCCAAATGTGGGGTTGGTCAACCCAACCAACAACCCCCCGATAAATTTATTGACTACACCTCCTAATCTAGGCATGCATGTTGTATATATATACATATATATTTTACAAGAGAGGGAGGTGGAATTCTAGGGAGAAGAAGGAAAGAGATGAGAGAAGGCAGCAGCACTGCCAGGAAGGGTGCACGAGGAGAAGGGCGGGTCAGTGGCTGTGCCGTGCGCCATTCCTGGGGATAGAGATGGGGCAGGGTGCAAGCCTTGAGGGGGCGCAGCCCAGGCGACAGGGGAGGAGCGCATGGACACTGGCGGTGTGAGCCTGCAGTCTCCGTGTGGTCAACGGAGAGAGTGCGGGCGGTTGAATACAACGAAGGCAGGGAAGTAAAGGGTTGACTAAAAAAAGAACAGAAGGCACGGAAGTGTCGAGTAGACTCAAAGGGGAGGGTGCAGGGAGGTTGGAGAAAAAAAACGGCGGGAGGTGGAGGGTACCTCGTAGTTGCTGACGATGCGAGTGATGCGGTCATCAAACTGGCGGATGGTGCGCGCCTGGGAGGGGCAGGCAGAGAGACGAGGGGTACAAAGGAAGACACATTGACGACCCTTGTCCTCCTTTGACTCTTGTACAAGGAAGAGAAGGGTCGACGGATCACATGATTCGTGAAGCTGCCCCCACAACAAGGCAACACATCCCAACACATCCCAACACATCCCAACACATCCCAACACATCCCAACACATCCCAACACATCCCAACACATCCCAACACATCCCAACACATCCCAACACATCCCAACACATCCCAACACATCCCAACACATCCCCTACGTGGCAGAGACTTGTTGAATCCCAGTGGAGGTGAGAAACACACAGGCGATGAAACACACAGGCGATGAAACACACAGGCGATGAAACGAATGAGAAGCACACGCACGAGCACAAGCAGACGCAGCCGCACGAGCACAAGCAACCAACTCACCTTCATCCCGTGCTTCACGTCCACGAGGTGCTGGAAGAAGATCTTATTTATATATTCATTCATTTCTTCATTTCTGTATTTGTTATTTCGGTGGAGACGTGAGCAGCTCACCTTCATCACGTGCTGGACGTCCACGAGGTGCTGGAAGCTGTCCTTGTGGCTGGAGAGAGGGGAGGGGGATACAGGGGCGATGAAGGGGCGATGAAGGGGCGATGAAGGGGCGATGAAGGGAACCCATAGAAGGCATGACGGCGGGAAAGGAGGAAAGCAATGAATGGAGGGAGTAGGGAATGGGAGACGAGAGAGAGGGAAAACAATGACGCAAGCACGGATGCGAATGAGGCGGGCTGGCATCAACGACATGCCATCAGCACCAATCACCGAGAGGGGACCCTAAAGCACATCATGGTCAACGCCATAGTATACATTTTGGTCCGTCTTTTCAAAATTTAAAGCTGTTGACCCATAATGCATACTTTCGCGTTCAAGATTAATAATCTTGAAGGGCGAAAATAGGGTAGCCAGGTTCCGGGTGAGCCAGTCTAGCCCGAGTTTTGGCGACCAAGGGACGCGGGAGTTTCCCCCCGAACTTGAAAAACCGAGAATGCATCTTGGGACTTTTGAAGCTTACTTCACTGCATTCACGCCCCCCCACCCCCGTTTCCCCCCGCCCCCCGTTTGAGTCTGCAATTTGCAACTTTTGTTTGTGCTGCCCCCCCCCCCCGTTTGAGTCTGCACTTCGTAACTTTTTGTTTGTGCGCCCCCCCCCGTTTCCCCCCGTCCCCCCTTTCGAGTCTGCAATTTGCAACTTCTGTTTGAGCTGGCCCCCCCCTCTGCGCCCTCTTTCAAGTCTGCAATTTGAATCTGCAAAAACAAACTTCTGCTGTGTTCCCCCCCGTCCCCTGCTAGTCTTTCGTTTTCCCTGCGCAACCCTTCCTTTGTCCCTGCTCCCACGCATGTTCCCACGGGTGTTTTGCGCTGGTTGCCCAACTTCATTTATAGCCTGCACGCTATTTCCGCTCGGCTTCGTGCCCTTTTCGCACTCTCGTCAACAGCCCGCTTTACTTCGCAGCCCGTTGACTCACACTCTCCCGGTTCATCTGCATTATGGGTCAACGGCTTTAAAGATGAAAAAATTGGTAATCTGGTATTCCCAGCCAAAGTCCCAGCCACATGGGTAATTGACGAACTCAAATGACCTCCCGAGCACCAATCCCCCTCGCGAGCCTTTCGCAGTCAACATTTGGGCAGTGCGGACCCAAATGTAGACGGCGGCTTTAAAGCGAGGATCTTGAAACCCCCCGGACTCAAGAACTTAGGTTTTGATCCCGGGGCATTTTGGCTGGGGATCAAAACCTTAGGTTTTGAGTTCGGGGGGTTTCGAGATCCTCGCTTTAATAGCTCCCATCCTGGCAAATTCCATTAGCCCCGTAAGCCGTGGCCGTGGCAGTGTTGTATGCGCAATCAGACACATCTCACATTACATTGTCTAATGCCATCCCATCCCATGCACCATGCCATGCCATCCCATGCACCACGCCATGCCATGTCGCCTCTGCTGACAACTTTGTGAAGTCCCTCAGCCCAGTGGCCATGGCCGTCTTGTACATGCGCTGCCATGCCTGTAGGGTAATGATTGATATTTGGTATCTTGCTCAAATGGCTCACAGCTTGGCAAAGTCCCTGAGCCCCGAGGCCATCGCCATGTTGTACACCCACTGCCGCGCCATCTCACCATCAGATTGTCTCATGCCATGCCATGCCATGCCATGCCATGCCATGCCATGCCATGCCATGCCATGCCATGCCCTGCAGCCCGAGTCTCACAGCTTGGCGAACTCTCTGAGCCCCGTGGCCATGGCCATGTTGTACACGCGCTGCCATGGCATCTAACCATCAGATTGTCTCATGCCATGCCATGCCATGCCATGCCATGCCATGCCATGCCATGCCATGCCCTGCCCTGCAGCCCGAGTCTCACAGCTTGGCGAACTCTCTGAGCCCCGTGGCCATGGCCATGTTGTACACGCGCTGCCATGGCATCTAACCATCAGATTGTCTCGTGCCATCTCATGCCACGTCGCCTCTACTCACAGCTTGGCGAACTCCCTGAGCCCCGTGGCCATGGCCATGTTGTACACGCGCTGCCGCGTGCGCCGACTCATCCACCGGTCACAGATCTGACTTGGGGGGGGGGGGGGGGAGTGAGGCAGGAGGGAACAGGGGGCAGGAGGGAACATGGGGCAGGAGGGTGTGCTTGGAGGACCTGTGGTGGTTTTGGCCCAAACTTGGTGCGCCAGTTCATCCACCGGTCGCATACCTGATGGGGGGAGGGTTGTGCGGGTGGGTGCTTGGGGAATATGGGGTGGTTTCTAACCAAACATTGTGCGCTGGTTCATCCACCGGTCGCATACCTGATGGGGGGAGGGTTGTGCGGGTGGGTGCTTGGGGAATATGGGGTGGTTTCTAACCAAACATTGTGCGCTGGTTCATCCACCGGTCGCATACCTGATGGGGGAAAAGAGCGAGGGGGGAGGATGGGGTGTTGTGTGGACCCGAGGTGGCTTCTGAGGCCAAACGCTGTTCAGCGGCTCACGTGTGGTGGGCTGGGGGGGGGGGAGAGAGATCGGGAGCCCCCCCCCAGCCCACCACAGGAGTCTAGGGGAAAGACACAAATTATGAAGAGGAAGTGGCTTCCTTATGAGAGAATGGATGATGCACATGCATGATGCACATGCATGATGCACCCCATTCATATACTTCCATGATCGCGGTCATATTCCCCCATACATACATTCATACCCTGCCAGTGCTCATCATCCATGCCATGACAAGACTGGACACGGGGCATGCGTGGCATACCAGCATGGCAAGCCGTGCCCATACCAGTAGGTCCCAGGGGTTGCCGATGGAAACAGCAGCTTGGATTGGCCCAGAGGCGCCCTCCTCCCCGAGATACTTCACCTGGGGTGCACAAGAGGCAGAGACAGGGCGAGCAAGAGGTGTGAGGGGCATGCAGGGCATGGGGGGCATGCAGGGCATGGGGGGCATGCTTGTATAAGTTAGATGAACAGCAGACCGATGGGCCCAGACGCCCCTTCCTCTCTGAGATACTTCACCTGAGGGGAGGGGGGGGAGGGGCAGGCAGACAGACCAGACAAGGGGTGTGGCCGGCATAAGGTTGAAAATTTCGACTGGCCGTGTTTTTTTATTTTTTACCCCAGCGATTTCGGGGAAAAAAACGCCCAAAAAAAAAAAAAAAAAAAAAACATTTCGAAACCTTCTTCTGTAGGGAGCCTAAACGTCCGCCAGGTCCGCGCATTTCGGCGGGCAGAATGCCAGATCCGCGCATTCGCTGGTTTTCTTCACCCATTTCCTGGGAAAATCGGCCTTCTTTTAAACCAGACGGGAAAAATATAATGCAGCCAGACGGGAACATACAACATTGACCTTATTTCACAGAATTATATGACCCTACAATGCTGTCACGATGGGAGCTATTAAAGCCGCCATCTACATTTGGGTCCCCATTGCCCAAATTCTGTCAGGCTGCTGCTAGCCCCTGTCAGGCTGCTGCCAGCCCCTGTCAGGCTGCTGCCAGCCCCCTCTCATCACAAATCCTCACCAGGAAGCGTCACTGCAAAGTCTCACCAGGAAGCGTCACTGCAAAGTTGAGACGATTTTTGAGGCGCCTCAAAAATCACCAGGAAGCGTCACTGCAAAGTCTCACCAGGATGTTGGCCCCCAGGGACGTGCCGATGGCGTAGAGAGGAGCGAGGGGGTAGTTGCGCTTCACCAGGCCGATGACGAAGCGCAGATCCGTGGTCCACCCCGCATTGTAGAAGCGGCTCGACTGGGGCATTGGGAGGGAAGGGAAGGGCAGGGGTTGGGGCAAGGGGGACCGGTGGGGGGTGGGGAACGAGGTGCCTCAACAAGGGCCTTGGGCGTAGCGTGTAGGGCAGTGTGCAGCGCATAGTGTGTACTTGGGGCAAAAAGCGACCTGCGGTTTCTGAAACATCTTTACTTGTTGCCATTATGACCTACTTGAAAAAAAAGGCGCGTCTACAATGGCAAGTCACTGTGTTTGTAACTCACTGTGATCGTAACTCACTGTGATTGTAACTCACTGTGGTTGTAACTCACTGTGATTGTAACTCACTGTGATTGTAACTCTCTGTGATTGTAACTCACTGTGATGGTAACGCCTCCTAAGCCCCTGTGGTTGGGCACCAGTGCTCTCCACCCGTGCCTGGTGACGCCAGCCACACAGTGGCGCATGTACTGCAGAGAGCAGCAGGGGCACAGGGGCACAGGGGCACAGGGGCACAGGGGCACAGGGGCACAGGGGCACAGGGGCACAGGGGCACAGGGGCACAGGGGCACAGGGGCACAGGGGCACAGGGACACAGGGGCACAGGGGCACAGGGACAGGTTAGACTGGATATAGTGCTGCAGGAAACAGCGGAGAATCAAGTGCCTGAGAGCACCCGCACACTCTCTCCCCGTGCCTGGTGACGCCAGTCACACAGTGGCGCAGGTGCTGCCGAGGGGAGCAGAGGGGCAGAGGGGCAGCGAGGACGAGAGGCAGTGAGTATAAAATCACCTGTGCCTAGCGCCCGTGACACACTGCCGCATGTACTGCACATGGGAGCTGAGGGGTGGAACAGGCGTAGAGGGGCAGAGGGGCAGGGTGGGTGTTACGGGGGGAGCACGAGGTGCCTGCGAACACTGGTGCTCTCCACTCCACCTGTGGCTGGTGACGCCAGTCACGCCGTGTCGCATGTACTGTGGAGCGGAGCAGAGGGACACAGGGGGGAGTCCAGCGGCATGCCCAAAGAGGTGGCGGGAGTGCAAAGGCGACGCAGAGAGCAAAATGGGAGCGGAGGAAAGTCACAGAACGGGGAGAGGAGGGCAGGGGGGGGGGGCACAAGTGCCCCCATCATCCTCCCCATCAACCCCACACTTATGACCACCACACCACCTCACGCACCTTGTCATCGGATGCGCTTGTAAGCCCGGGCACCACAATCACAATTGGCACCTCTGATGCCCCCTCCGCCCTCCCCCCTGCTCCCTGCTGCCTGCCCTCCCCTCCTTGCCCTCCCCCCTTCCCTCCAGCAGCAGCCACTCCTGGGGAAACCTTAGACGCTGGAAAGAGGAATCACGGCAGAAGGAGGGGAGAAAGGGGGAGAGGAGAGAGAGGGGGAGGGGACAAAAAGGGGAGTGGGAGAAGGAGAGGGTAGGAAGGATGATGAGTCATGACAAGGGGAGGATGGACGGAACGGACGAGCAGTGGTGGGTACGGGGATGTGAGTACAAGAAACCAAGTCCCAGTCACTTGTGCCAACCACCCCTCTGTCAAACTCACTGCCGTCACACACTTTAGAATGACCTTCCTCTGCAGGCAGCAGGCTCGGCCCAGTCCAGAGCGGGATTGCCGCCATCAGGGGTGTGCACCACATGTTTGAACGCATTATCAGTAGCCGCGTTCCAACCCCCACCCCCACCCCCACTCCCCCCCCCTCCCCCCCAACCTCCCCCTTCCCACAACCGCACTGCACCCTATCTCACCTTCCGCTGCTGGCTCGGCCCAGTCCAGAGCGAGGGTGCCGCCATCAGGGGTGCGCACCACTTGCCTGAAAGGGGCGTGGGTCATGGCGTTCCAGGCAGACGAAAGGACACGCATGAGAGGGAGAGTGGACGGGGCAGACGAGCGAGCACAGAGAGGGGGGGCAGCGCGCGGAATGGCAGTCACTGACACAAGCGCCATGCACTCCTATGAAACGTCGCGTCGCATGCACTCAGCATACCGAATGCAGTCGATGCGTGAGGCGTGTGGCACAAAGACGTGCATTGCAGGGGCGCTCGAAAGTCATGCGCCCGCTGTGATGTAGGGCACGCCATGATGTAGGGCACGCTATGATGTAGGGCACGCTATGATGTAGGGCACGCTATGATGTAGGGCATGCTATGATGTAGGGCACGCAATGAGCGCACCTGATGTAGGGCACGCGAGGCGTCCTTGCGAAGAAGTGCACAAAGGTGGTCTGCAGGTGCGGGCTGCACAGCCAAGGCGTGGGCCAGAAGCTGATGGGGGCAACACGGGGTGGATGGGGGCAACACGGGGTGGATGGGGGCAACACGGGGTGGATGGGGGCAACACGGGGTGGATGGGGGCAACACGGGGTGGATGGGGGCAACACGGGGTGGATGGGGGCAACACGGGGTGGATGGGGGCAACACGGGGTGGATGGGGGCAACACGGGGTGGATGGGGGCAACACGGGGTGGATGGGGGCAACACGGGGTGGATGGGGGCAACACGGGGTGGATGGGGGCAACACGGGGTGGATGGGGGCAACACGGGGTGGATGGGGGCAACACGGGGTGGATGGGGGCAACACGGGGTGGATGGGGGCAACACGGGGTGGATGGGGGCAACACGGGGTGGATGGGGGCAACACGGGGTGGATGGGGGCAACACGGGGTGGATGGGGGCAACACGGGGTGGATGGGGGCAACACGGGGTGGATGGGGGCAACACGGGGTGGATGGGGGCAACACGGGGTGGATGGGGGCACGTATGGGGAACACAAGAAGCACACGGGCGCACAAGGGGTGAGAGGAAAGAAGCAAACGCCGACACGCAGGTGCGGCTGGAAGAGCCAAGGCGTGGGGTGACAGCGCGGAGGGAGAGTAGGGAGGCGGTTGGGTGCAGAGAAGGGGAAACGGGAGCATGCACAGCAGGCTCATGGCGCTGCTCGGGGGGCACATGGGGCTGCTCGGGGGGCACATGGGGCTGCTCGGGGGGCACATGGCGCTGCTCGGGGGGCATGGGGCCGAAGAACGGGGCACAGGGGGGCAAAGGAGTGCATATGGCCGCAAAGGGGGGCACGAAGGCGCACAACGGGCACAGTGGCTCGGGGGGTGCGCAGTGGCATAGAGGGGCACATTAGTATTGGAGGCCGCAGGACATTCCGGTGCCTGGAAATCCAAAGCTACGATCTTGGCTGGTGGAACCACCACAAAATGGTGGAATGTCCTCTTGTGAGCTGGGCCTGCCTTGAGTGCGAAGCGAACCAGTATCACTGGGACAAATATGTCATACGTTTCACATTCATACATCCAAAGCGTTTTCACTCATGTTAGGCAAGCCGCGGTGCCAGAAGCAGTTGTCCAGACGCCACCACGCAAGAGCTCCTTCTGATCCCGTCGCTCGTTCGTTGTGTCCAAACCAAATCCCGTCCTTCCCACATTCCCTTACGCGTGCCCATGAACGTTTGAGTCGACTGACACGCCATCCGCGCGCCCATGAACCCCCGCACGCAGCAGCCCCATCTCCACCCGGATCCACCCATATCCCCGCTATAAGGCAGAATGCATACGCGCTACAAGCGCGAATCCGACACTCACTGCGGAATGCGCATTCGCGCGAAGACGGCGCGCGCCACGTTGGACCCCGGGTGGTGAACCACCTTCACCCTATCGCCGACGAACACGTGGCTGACGACGTGCAGGTCGAACCAGCTGTACAGGAACGCCAGCAGCACCGCCGCGATACCCGCTATTAGCAGCCCCCATACTAACGGCGGGAGCTGCGAGAAGGCGAGAGAGACTGCGGCGCAAGACTCGAGGAGCCACGGGAGGAAATCTCCCAGATTTCGGAAGTCTAGGAGAAACGGCGGTGCTGAGGAAAGGGTGTCGAGAGTCGGAAGTGACGTCATCATGTAGGCGCGTCGGTGGCGGTCAGTCAATGGCGTGCGATCGATGGCGACTCTCTCGTGTTCCAGGAACGGGTCCTCAAACGTCGCAGGTTTGAAAGGCTGCGACTGTGTGGATCGCACAGCGTGGCTGGAAGGGGGGCACGGTCGGGCGTCAAGCAAGGAGGAATCCTTGTGCTTCCTGCCAAGCGGATTCACGCTGCAGCTCAGGGGAAGTGGAATCTGGACTAGCGGCGTGTCCTAAGCATATGTCCGAATGCGGGTGAGTAAGGTGAATTGCGTTCCAGAAGGATCAAATCATTCCGTAAAACGGTTCGGTAGGGTTTTGGCAAAAATACGAGCGCTTAGGAGACGCGCTAAAAGGTGCGGCTGTTGTGGTCTGTGATGAGGCATTGGATAGCGAACGATTCGCGATTTGGTTAGAAAAGCCAGCAACGCAGTAACGCGATATTATCAAATACACCATAAGCACCACACTAGCCATTTTCCTATTGGACGAAACTCTACAGACAATAACGAATGGACGTATTTGTTATAACATGTTTAATTTGATATTGGTAATTTACAGTCATTACCACACATTGTTTCATGATGACATAGTAGTATGCTTGACATTGCAGGTTATCGCCCTAGCACGCCAACCCCTAAATAACCTCGTGCCTTCATTGCAATAGTGACATTGTATTCTCGCGTTTTAGTTCATTTACACTTCCTATATAATAACAGCTGGTATCAGAGCCCGACCTTTCCAGGAACCTTCCGTTTTTCCCGTCTACGTAGTTAAGGGTGGTCAGAGGGGATAAGCACGGCTGCATAGCAGTTGTCTTGGATCGTAAATATTTTTACGATAACAACTACAGCGTGTGCGCTAGCTTCTGCCCCGTCCTGATCGCCATGGCCCTGGTAGACTCGACGGTTGAGGAACAGTCCACCTCGACTGATGCGAACCCTGCCTGGGAAACTGTGGACCTGAAAACATTAATGAAGCAGTTGCAGAATTTGACAAGCGTCGTCAACGACCCCCGCGACGAGAACCAACGACTTCGCCAGGCGTAGGAGAGGCGTTCAGAGGAACCGGACGACCATGCACGAAGCGAGGCGGGTGATCAACAACCGTCGCCAGTGGAGCTGGCATGACTAGCGGCAACAGCCCCGCGCTCGACAAGTGGCGGCGTAGGATATCAGCAACCTGCTCCTTTCGACCCAGCTAATAGAGGCGTGACGGTGCGGTAGTGGATATTCGCCATGAATATCTATTTTAATGCAGCGGGCATCAGAGACGATCAGAAGCGGATCAGCCACGCGTTAATACTGTTGCAAGGGGCTGCCCTACAGTTGTGGAAGGTCATCGTCGACTCAGCGGCAACTCGCACAGATGGACAGTACGAGTGGTTCGAAGAATTCGGCGACGAAGACGAGGCAGATCTGTTGTTCGGAGCGACCCACATTCGCACGTGGGCAACGTGGTGCATAGAGCTTTGCAAGCGGTTTGAGCATGCTCCTGACTTAGACAAGGCAAGCGGAACTCTACGCATTTGGAAGCAGCTGGGATATGTGTCCGAGTACATCGCGTCATTTTTGATGTTGGTGGATAGATGTGGCTACATGCACGAGTTGGAGAAGGTCGATAGGCACATGGGCGGCTTGAAGCCCGCAATATAGTACCAGATAAAATTGCAACGCCTGCGAAGCGGTCACAAGACTACATCCAGCTCGCCGAGGCCCCCGATTCGTTCACGAAGCCGAGGACGAACTGCTACGATGGAGGTCGCCCTCGAGAACAGTACCAACGTGCCACGGTAGAAACGGTGGACGCAACGGATATCTACTTTGTTGCTCCGCGAAATACGGAGATATGCTACCCTTGTGGCCGGCCGGGTCACATCCGACGCAACTGCCAAGAACTCATAGCCCTCCACAATTCTATGGGGAAAAAGCCGGAGGAGCGACCGGGAAATGGGTCGCGTCAGTAAGTACCGGGCCCCTTACTGACGGGTAGGCTTCTTCGCCTGAGCCACACAGTCCCCACCGGGTGGTGATCCCGATTGCTGCAATCGACCGGACCTGGACGAATAAGGGGGACGAAACTGCTGATCACCATGTGTTGGTAGAGGGTAAAGTCAACAGAGTGTTATTGAAGGGTTTCGTTGATGGAGGCGCGAGTTACAGTCTCATACAACTGGAAAGGGCAAAGAAGTCGGGTAAAGCCTTACTCAAGTGTCTACCTGAAATCGACGCCCGACTGGTGGATGGAACACCGCTGGCAATACGGGAACAAGTGGAGAACATCGGTTTTACCTGTGGGGAGCATGTAAAATTTCGGATGGGGCTACTGGCGACAACACTCGATGGGTGCGGCGTGCTGCTGAGATGTGATTGATTGCGACAGTACAACCCAAAGATTGACTGGAAGACAGACGGCTGCAACATCAAGCTCGAGGGGATTGCCCGCGAGCTGCCCAGGTGGACGGGACCTCGCATGCGAAGCACCCGAGTCCACGCGATCACTTTCAAACGCGCGATAAAAGCGGGAGCTGCAGCGCACGCCATTGATCTTCACGAGGTGACATCGATGGTCGAAACCGAAGATATCGAGAAGCTATGCAAGGCCGTCCCTCCGGACTTAGCGGACCTGATTCGGAAATACCCAGAGATTTTCCCAGACGACCTGCCAAATCGACACCTGCCGAGCCGGCATGAGAACCACCAAATCGAGCTCGAACCAGGCGCCCAACCGACGGTACAGTGCTAATTTCGGCTCAGCCAACCGAAACTGGAAGAATTGCAACAGCAGCTGGATTACCTTATGACGAAAGGTTTTATTCGGCCTAGCACGTTCCCATATGCTGCCCCGATACTATTCACGCCGAAGAAGGATGAAGGATTCCGAATGTGTATCGACTACCGCGCGCTCAACCGGATCACCGTCAAGTCGCGTTACCCGATCCCGCGAGCCAACGAACTTCCCGACCAACTTCGCGGCGCCAAGTTTTTCTCGAAAATCGACTTACGAGGAGGTTACCATCATATTCCCGTTGCAACCGAAGATTGTCACAAGACAGCGTTTCGTAGCCGCTACAGCAACTACGATTACCTGGTGATGCCTTTTGGCCTTACGGACGCGCCCTCGACCTTCCAAATAACCATGAATGGATTTTTTAGGGAACTCTTAGACAAATGCTTCATCACCTACTTCGACTATATACTAATCTACAGCCGTAGTAGGGAGCAGCACTTCCACGATCTTGATGCAGTCTTCATGCTGCTGCACAAGAATCGCCTCATCACCAAAGGGTCTAAGTGCGACCTTCTTAAGCAAGAATTGGAATTTCAGGGCCACATCATCTCTACTGAAGGAGTGAAAATTGACCCCAAAAAAATCAAGACCCTACAGGAGTGGAAGCCGCCAAGCAACATCACAGAGATGTAGAGTTTTTTGGGCTTCGTCAATGTGAGAGTACGACCCCGTTCCATTCCTTTCTCCTTTCCATTTCATTCCTCTTTCCATCTTGACCCATTTGGTTTTTTATCTCATTCCATTTGGATTCCTATTTCTCATTTTCGATAAACCTTTGGTTTATCGAGTTATTATGATTATATCACCGACCACGCCCGGGATGTACTGGTGTGCTCTATCTAGCGTAATCCTGCCGTAATCCCTTAAAGCCAATAGCCTCGCGCGGCTATGCGCAGGGTGATTCTACTTTCTAGAAGGGTCTATTCCTTTAGGATACGATAAACCTGGTTACCTGATGTACTTTGGAAGTATAAAAGCGCCTTGTACTGATCGATATTGCAACCTTTCCTCGAGACATTCGATCCTGTAACACTTGGTAATCAGATCTTTTCTCACTCGACCGCGCTCAGCTAAGCAGCAGCAGCAGGACTCCTGCCTCGAAAAACCGCCGGGGGCGACCAATTCGACGCCGATTCTGGTAAGCACCAGCTCCGCGTTTTTTCGAATTACCCCCTCTGCGCGTGTTTTGAGCAGGATGGCGAACTTCGACAACGCCGAAGTTACCCAGCAGCTCTTCGCGCGCATCGCAGCCCTGCAGGAGGAGATGCGAGCAGACTGCGAAGCTTGACGAAATGAGTTCGAGCGAGTAACTCGACTCGCCGGAGCGCAACACGAAACGACAACGGCGACGACGCAGCAGTCGTAGCAATTTCTCGAGGCTCCGAAACCGCGCCCACCTGAGCCGTTCGATCCGAGCGATCGAAACTCCGACGTCCGCAGATGGATCGCAGGCAAGGAGATCTACTTTGCAGCCGTCGGATGGAGCTCGCCAGCCTGGGACGATCAACGCGTACGACTCGCGGCGACACTGATGCGAGGGCTGGCACTCGAGTGGATCGGCGGTAACAGCACCTTCATCCACGGTGAAGCCACATGGCAGCAGTTCCGCACCGACCTGCTGAAACGTTTCGAGCCGATAAATTTGGGTTTCCTTGACCGCGAAAAAATTCATCGCCATCGACAGTTTGGGAGTGTAGCGCAGTACACGCAGCAGATGGAGGAATTTTATAACCGCATTCTCGACCTGACCGAAGGGGAAAAAGTACAATCGTATCTCGCCGGGCTGAAGACCGAAGTCAAACGACAAGTGGCAGCGACAAACTACGCGAGCTACAGTGACGTCGTATCAGCCGCGGAACGCTTCGACATGGTCAACGCCGGGACACGACGGACGCACGTCGGCAGTACGCGACAGGGCGACCGCTCGGCTCACACCACGTTCGCCGACCCGATGGAAGTCGACAGGTTCGAAGGGCGGCCACGTCTGAAAAACACCAACTACACGTGTGATTTCTGCGGGGTGCCGGGTCATCGAATCTTTGACTGCAACAAAATGAAAGCCGCACGCATTGAGTATCGAGCACGCAACAGTGGGGGAAATCCTTCGGCCAATCAGAAACAAAGAAACGGAGCTCGCCAGTGATTGCGGATCTAGCTGGCGAAAAGAAAAGATCTAAAAGCGGCCGCGGACTTCCGGAAAAATCAACTTCGACGCAGCTGATTCGACGCGGATAGGAGAAATTGATGGGGAAAAATCTCCACCCCACGACCAGTCTTTGCCAGAGGAAATCGCAGAGGAAAAATCTAACTCCGCGAAAAAGGACTGCCAAGACGGGGAAACTCCTTGAAGACCCAAGAAATTATAAGGATTTGTTAAAGTTATCTTACAAAGATGCTTTAATGAAAAATTGTAAT